GACAGCGGGGAAAGGAGGAGGAGGAGAAAGAGAAGGAAAAGGAGGAGGAGGAGGAAGAGAAGGAGGGGGGAATGAGAACTCCTGAACCTCTGACATGCAAGCCCGAGGCGCGCAGCAAGATCGCTGCCGACGCGGCCCTCGGAGCCCCCAAAGTCGCCAGCCCAAGCCACGGCCCCAAGAGAAGCGGGAACTGCCCTGTCCGCCCATCCACCCTCCCCCCCTACCTTTCTTGTCCCTAGTGCGCTCCAAGACGCCCGCGAGCGCAGCCGAAGCGACGCGCGGGCCGGTGCCCGAATGGGCGTCGCACTCGGAGGTGGCGCCGAGATTGCCAGACCATCATCCCGTATCCTCAGCCCAGATGATGGGATGGCCCTGTTCTCGTCGGCGGACGGAAAATTACCGCTGAACCTGATGTCCAGCCCGCTCCACGCCGCAGAATTGAAAGTCGTGACTGCACGCACGTCCAGGCCTTGGTAATCTTCCGCCGAACAATAGAGAGCCGCATCCGCGACCCCCTCATTCATGAGATCCGAAATCGTGACGTTCTCGACCCCGATGTCGCTCTGGAAGCCCAACCTCAAAGCGACGGCCCCCTTGTTACGATGGCTCATTGCGTCCCCTTGGCGCTCGAATATGGTTTTCCCCTTGCTGCCCCCTGTCCAAAGAAACCTGATGACGTTTCCCGTTTCGTCGCAGGTCAGTCCACCTCTGGCCCACCGCTGAATGCTAAACTGGATGTGAGAGCCCCCAAAATAGAAAGAACAGACGTCCTTCGAGATGTCCGTCTTGTGCAAAACGTCCCTAAAAACGCCCATGGTGATTTGCGCGTCCGTGAACGAGTTTCCGACGCACGCGAAGCAATTGCTAATGTCCCATGCCTGGTCGACGCGGAAGACGCCCCCGTCCACGCCAACAGCCTTTTTACCGTTGATCCATGCCGTCATTACCTGGTCAACCGTAAGTTTTCAGTCATGGATGTGGATATGTTTCAAAGTGATGTTCGCCACCACCTTCTCTAGAGGGTCAATGGATGTGTCTCGACAAAAACCGAATCCGTTGATTACCACTCCACTCCGGTGAAACAGAACGTCGTAAATTGCCGAACCGTCTGGCAACGCGTTGCCAACACCCATGACTGATAGCAGCGGCCCTCTGGAACCTTCCATCAACTCCTGAAGATCCGCGCGTAGCTGCGCGAAACGCTCTTCAACGTTCCAGTTGGAACCCCCGGTTTTGGTATTTGTGCTTGCCATGAACGACGCCATGCTGGGGACATTCGGCATTAGCGTGTTCACTATATGGTCCATGAGAATGGCGCGGCTCAACTTGGCGCGAAATGTCTGAGTCAGCGATGGCCCGATGTCGAAACTCTGCAAGAGAAGCTTCGAAGCGCCGTTGAATGCCAAACCGCCCACTTCAAATTTTTTTATAATCACATTCTCAATGGCCACGCCATCATCATCGTTTCCGTGCGTGCCAACGTGCGAAGAAAAGGCCAAGCGCGCAATTTTTTCATGAATGAATGAATGAATGAAGCGGATGTCTGCCAAAGTACTGGTTCCTACCGCGCGGCGGCGCGCGAAGCGACAGGGAGAGGGAGAGGGGGGGGGGGGGACAGAGAGGAGCAGCAGCAGAAAACGAGGAGGGGAGAGAGGCGGGGGAACCAACCGAAACACCAGGAGCAGCGCTCAGGCCAACCTGCAATAGGCGAGCCGTTGCCGCAGCTGGGGAAGGCCAAGCGCGCAGTTACGAATACTCACGCTACGCGCGCTCACCAACGGCGCGCTGGTTACCGTACTGCTTGCGACCTGTGGCGGGCCCCGGCCAGCAACGAACGGTGCCGAGCCAAGTTCGATAACACTGAAGAAGCGCTGCTTGTTTTGTGGAGCCCAGGCGAGCCCGCCTGGCCGATCCGCCCCTGGGTTCTGTTTAACTAGTTGGCCTTGACGAATTTTGCAGGCGGGCATTAGCTAAAAACTAGCACTTCTAAGCATTTTAAACTTACTTATAAAACTATGTCGTCTCTTCCACCACGACTTCTTATATTTGAGTAACTGGCTGACGTTATTGATCCCGAAGCAATGCTGTTCCCCCCGCAATCGATATCCACGTTGTCTGCCTCCACCGTCAACGCTGCGAACAAAACCAAGTATGTATCCACCACATTGCGAATCGGTGATCGAGTCTTCTGGAATTCCACTCCAGCTTAGATGGGCCCCAGTAGGGTTGAATTCGATGTACTCCTTTGTGATATGTGCCAGGCGACCGGATCCGAACTGTGTCCTGCGCAAAATCATCTGCATAGAGGTCGACAGACAGGCGGCTTCGCAAACGCTGGGAAAGCGTGTCCTCTCCGTGGATCAAATTGGGAAATTGCCGTCACGAGCGCTAATGCCTGGACGTAGTAATGGCTTCATATGTTGAAGATGGCAGTATGGATATAAGGGTGCGGTTGGATGATAAAGATAACAAAAGTAGAGTGTGCACTTGATAGCTTGCTTGGCTTGAGCCAGAATGGCTACGGACCTGGAATTCTGGAAGATCTTGGGCGCTTCCCGATATCGTCGCATGACTTTTCCGGGGAACTCGGGAGCGTGGTTTGGAACCCATGGTTCGAACGTTTCCTAAGAATATGGTTTCCAGGGACCTTCCTGAGGCTGTCTTGGGAGCCTCTCGGGCCCTCTTGGAGGACTTGGGGGTCGGCCAAAGAACCAAAGCTCCTTGAACAACCGGCGGTGTTGTATAGTTTCGTTCACTTGCCTTTCCAACATAACGTGACATGTTTTGTTCTAACATAACAGTTTTTTTTCACGAACCCCTTGCAACAAATGTGACGAAATGCACACGCGCGCGTCGTCGCGCGCGCATGCCGGAATCCTTCGAAAACCTTCTGTGCAGGAAGGGGTTCGCAATCGAGTTTCCAAAACAAATACAAAAACACAAGGTTTCGCAACACAGAGTTGCTAAAAAAGTTTCCGCGACAGCTCTTGCGAAATCTTAAGGAAACCATAGGTTTTCAAGACTTTCACAAAATGCTACCAAACGGGCTTCGCGCGCGCTCATGTCGAAATCTGTCGAACGCCCTTGCGCGTGTGCCGTCGCGAGAATCCCCTGCAAACAATGGGACGATGTGCAGACGCGCGCGTCGTCGCGCGCGTACGCCGAAAACCTTCAAAACCCATCGGTTTCCGAAGGATTTCAAAATCGTGTGTCAAAAAATATACAAAAACACAAGGTGTCGCAACACGGATTTTCAACAAAAGCGTGCGCGCGCGCTGTTGCGTCGTCGTCGTCGTCGTCGCCGTCCTCCCTCCTCCCTCGTCGTTGTCGTCGTCGTCGCCTACGTCGTCCTCTGTCTTTCCTTGTGTTCGTCGTCGTCGTCCTTTTTGGCGTCGTGGTCGTTTCCGTCGTCGTTGTCGCCGTGGTCGTCCTTCCTCCTCCTCCCTCGTCGTCGTCGTCGTCCGTCGTCGGCGTCTCGTCGTCGTTCGTCGCCGTCGCCGTCGTCGTCGTCGTCTTCCCTCCTCCCATGTCGTTGCCGTCGTCGGCGTCGCCGTTCTTCCTCCTTCTTCGTCGTTCGCGTCGTCCTTTCTCCTCCCTCGTCGTTGTCGTCGTTGTCGCCGTCGTCGTTCTCCCTCCTTCCTCGTTGTCTTCGTTGGCGACGTCGTCGTCGTCTTCGTCGTCGTCGGCGTCGTTGTCGTCGTCGTCGTCGTCGGCGTCGTCGTCGTCGCCGTCGTCGTCGTCGTCGTCGGCGTCGTTGACGTCGTCGTCGACGTCGGCGTCGTCGTTATCGTCGTCGTCGGCGTCGTCATCGTCGTCGTTGTTGTCATCGTCGTCGTCGTCGGTGTCGTCGTCGTCGTCGGTGTCGTCGTCGTCGTCGTTGCCGGCGTCGTCGAAGTCGTTGGAGACGTCGTCGGTGTCGTCGTAGTCGTTGTCGGCGGCGTCGTCATCGTCGTTGTCGCTGTCGTCGTCGGCGTCGCTGTTGTTGCCAAGTGCCAAGTGGTACCCACCGTCACGGTCTTCAGAGATTTTGCAAACCAAGTTGCGGATGGGTGGGTGGGATGTTTGCGCGAGCAGTGGAGTGGACAACTCACTGCGAACAGAAATTAATTGCACCACATAGATTGCACAGCACACAGTGCACACCATCGGTTGCACCACATACACTGCTCTGTATCGATTGAACAAAAATCTATTTTCCTTTCTAAAAAGAAGACTCTACCCCCCCGGGCTTATCGCGTCCCCCTTATGATTTCATATATTTTCTGCACACCCTCGTCCATCCGAATTATGAAATCATACCATCCCAGCCAGGCCAGGTTCCCCCCCGGAGGTTCCCTTGCAAAAAAAAACGGTGACATTGTTTCTTCTAACATATCACTTTTTCGCGAATCCCTTGCAAAAAGTGAGACGAAATACACACGCGCGCGTCGTCGCGCGCGCATGCCGAAATCCTTCAAAAACCTATGGTGCCGGAAAGATTTCACAATCGAGTTTCCAAAAAAAAATGCAAAAACAAAAGGTTTCGCAACACTGATTTGCTAAAAAAGCTTCCGCGCGAGCCCTTTCGAAATCTTAAGGAAACCATATGTTTTTCAATATTTTCACAAGATGCTACCAAACGGGCTTCGCGCGCGCGCGTGTCGAAATCTGCCGAACGCCCTTGCGCGTGTGCCGTCGCGAGAATCCCCTGCAAAAAATGGGACGAAGTGCAGACGCGCGCGTCGTCGCGGGCGTATGCCGAAAACCTTCGAAACCCAGTGGTTTCGGAAGGATTTCAAAACCGTGCGCAAAAAAAAACTACAAAAACCCAAGGTTTCGCAACACGGATTTTCAACAAAAGCGTGCGCGCGCGCTCTTTCGTCGTCGTCGTCGTCGTCGTCGCCGTCCTCCCTCCTCCCGCGTCGTCGTCGTCGTCGCCTACGTCGTCCTCTGTCTTTTCTCGTGTTCGTCGTCGTCGTCGTCCTCTTTGGCGTCGTGGTCGTTTCCGTCGTCGTTGTCGCCGTGGTCGTCCTTCCTCCTCCTCCCACGTCGACGTTGTCGTCCGTCGTCGGCGTCTCGTCGTCGTCCCTCCTATTTCGTCGCCGTCGTCGTCGTCGTTGTCGTCGTCGTCTTCGCTCCTCCCTCGTCGTCGTCGTCGTCGGCGTCGCCGTCCTTCCTCCTTCGTCGTCGTTCGCGTCGTCGCCGTCCTCCCTCCTCCCTCGTCGTTGTCGTCGTGATCGCCGTCATCGTCCTTCCTCCTCCCTCGTCCTCGTCGTCGTCGTCGGCGTCGTCGTCTTCGCCGTCGTCGGCGTCGTTGTCGTCGTCGGAGTCGTCGGAGACGTCGTCGGTGTCGTCGTCGTCGTTGTCGTCGGTGTCGTCGTTGTCGGTCTCAAGAGGTTTTGCAAACCAAGTTGCGGGTGAGTGGGTCGTCCTTCCTCCTCCTCCCTCGTCGTCGTCCGTCGTCGGCGTCTCGTCGTCGTCCCTCCTATTTCGTCGCCGTCGTCGTCGTCGTCGTCGTCGTTGTCGTCGTCGTCGTCTTCCCTCCTCCCTCGTCGTTGCCGTCGTCGGCGTCGCCGTCTTTCCTCCTTCTTCGTCGTTCGCGTCGTCGCCGTGCTCCCTCATCCCTCGTCGTTGTCGTCGTTGTCGCCGTCGTCGTCCTCCCTCCTTCTTCGTTGTCTTCGTCGGCGACGTCGTCTTCGTCGTCGTCGTCGGCGTCGGCGTCGTTTTCGTCTTCGTCGTCGTCGACGTCGGCGTCGTCGTCGTCGCCGCCGTCGTCGTCGTCGGCGTCGTCGGCGTCGTTAAGGTCGTCGTCGTCGGTGTCGTCGTTATCGCCGTCGTCGGCGTCGTCATCGTCGTCGTCGTTGTCATCGTCGTCGTCGTCGGCGTCGGTGTCGTCGTCGTCGTCGTCGGTGTCGTCGTCGTCGTCGTCGTCGTTGTCGGCGTCGTCGAAGTCGTTGGAGACGTCGTCGGTGTCGTCGTAGTCGTTGTCGGCGGCGTCATCATCGTCGTTGTCGCTGTCGTCGTCGGCGTCGCTGTTGTTGCCAAGTGCCATGTGGTACCCACCGTCACGGTCTTAAGAGATTTTGCAAACCAAGTTGCGGGTGGGTGGGTGGGATGTTTGCGCGAGCAGTGGAGTGGACAACTCACTGCGAACAGAAATTGATTACACGCCATAGGTAGCACCACGTATATTGGACATTGTAAGTTGTTCCACATAGCCGCACCACCTATATATCCTATATTGTACAACATAGATTGGTTGCACCACGCAGATTGCAAACCGCAGACTGCTGGAAACACACTGCTTGGGGTCCGCTCTGGCTAGCATCTGCCTTCTAACAAGGCCCCCCCCTCTGCTCGCAGACTGGTGCGCACAGCCCCCCTACAGTCAACGCGCCTAGTAAGGACGCGCGCCTTCATCTAGGGTGCCCTTGTGTCCTTGCCTCCGAGGCTCGCCCTTGCCTTTATCTCTGGTCGCCCGCCGCCCTAAAAACCCAACTTCGGCCTCCAAGGGTCTTGCGTCCTTATCACCCATCCTTAATATACGTTTTGACTGTACTCCCGAGGCCACGATACCTCGACAACAACAGTGGATCCGTCTGCCCGAGGCCTCGAGCCATTGTGAAACCTAGGTGTCAGCGCCCCGACCTTCCATGACGCCACGGGCAGGCAACCAAGGCAACCAACATGGCGCAAGATACCTCGAAGACGCGCCAAGATGGCCACAAAGCGGCACAAGATGGCCGCAAAACGGTTCCAAATCCTTCAAACAAAGCGGGCCCGGAAAGGGCCCCCCAAAAACCTCCATGAAGACCCGAAGAAGCCCAGATCCCTGATTTCTCGGTAATTTGAATGAATGTCGCGTTCTCGCCTTTTCTGGCATACGTCAGCTCAATACGGCCCAAGAAGCCTCAACGATGACCCTTAGACGGCCCAACAGGCGCCCACGAGGGTCCAAAGATGGCCCACGAGGACCCACGAGAGCCTCAAAGGCATCCAAGACGGCCTCAAGACGCCCCAAGAAGGCCCACCGTGGGACCCAAAAAGGCCCTTCGACTGTCTAAGACAGCGCCAAAACGGCCGACTGGCATCCACCATACGGCCAAGAGGGCCCCAAGCCGGCCAACGAGAGCCCCAAGATGGCCCACAAGGGCCCCAAAACGGCCCAAGAGTGCCCCAATGCACCCCCAAGACTGCCTAACAAGAGGCCAGGACTGCTACAAGACGGCCCCCACGGGCTCCATGAGATCTCCTGAAATAGAGAAGACGAAAGGTGTCACATGTGACGGCCTGCCTGTTTCTCCTCCTCCTCCACCTCCTCCTGCTCAACGTCGTCATCATCATCGTCGTCGCCATCGGCATCGTCATCACCATCATCCTCTTCATCCTTATCATCCTTGTCATCCTTATCATCCTCATCCTGAGATTCATTATCATCCTCATCCTACAAATCAGCATCATCATAATCAGCATCGTCAGCATCATAATCAGTATCATCATCAGCATCATCAGCATCAGCATCATTAGTATCATTATCACCACAACCACCAACATCATCATCAACATCATCATCAACATCATCATCACCACCATCACGGCTCTCTCAAGCCTGCCAACACAATGTGTCACACGTGACGGCCTCCCGTGCACACGCGAACATTCGCCACTCAAAATGCTGGGCGGTCACGGAGGTGGGACATACCCAAAGCAGCTGAGCGTAAACGCACCAACCGCAAGCTAAACACATGGTTGCACGTGTGAAGCAGCAAAGGTCCTCGGTGCGGGGAACGTCACCAACTTTAACAAGAGCATGAAGGATCGTGCCGTACGTCTTCAGACTCGGCACCAAACCAGCCTCTGCAATACATTGACTGGTTAAGCGAAAGATGGGCACACAAGAATGTGCGATGAGAATGCGAAAGGAAGAGGGGCACGGGAATGACCAGGATAAAACACTGGGCAAACAAATGCCATCGAACAACATCAACCCCAGGACATCCGTCGAACTGGGTCCACGTGTTGGAAAGGTGGTGACCAATTGTGTCAGAGATGAGAAGAACTGTAATGAAAAACCCGTTGTGCGTTCTTGGCGTTACATGTGCGGACTACCCCTTTCTGACACGGATCGCCTCTCCACAACCCCATGCACTCACGTGAAAAGAGGGCCATTGGCAAATCAACACCAAACGATCAAATCAACTTGCACATATTCCACATTCCGTGCTGCTACGAGAGCGGGCATGGCAACAACATGCACTGGTGAGGAAGAGAAGAGAAACGATGGAAGAGCGGGTGAGCGAGCGAGAGAGGGAGGGATAGAGAGAGAGAACGGGAGAGAATTAAGAAACAGAGTGAGAGAGAGAGAAGTGAGAGAAGTGGAAAACAATGCCTCCTCCATTGCAATAAGCCAATGCTCCGCGCGAATGGCGTCACCCGCACGATTACAGGCGTCGATACCTGCACCCACGCCGGCGGCGCGGACCGTATTGGCGCCATGGGCGCACTTGGGGCAAGGCCAAGAGGCTTCCGCCTAACGTGCTCGAAAGAGCTGGGAGGAGACCAACAGAGCTGCAAACCTTTGCCTCTTCAGTACCGGATAGATGCCGATGCGAGGGGGCCGCAAGAGTAAATTTGCGAACGACTGCTGTGACATTGATGTCGACTGTGCCGCTATCCTCCTGGTAAGCCTGGGCATCCGCTCTAATGACACTACTCATTAGTCGAAAGCAGAACGTCTTCAGTGGACCCATGATAGAAACGATGCAGCTGATACTCTGAGGTGGTCAGAACGACAGCTGAAATGCACTCAGCTGCAGAACGCCTGAATGAAGGGACTCGCCTTCGGATGCGATGCGGTGGGGGTACAAACGAGCAGTCCTACAGCAATGCTTCCGCACAGAGGTTCTTACCTGGCTTGACCGGACATTCACTGAATGGGCCCGCCGAAATTTCGCCAGTGGGCGTCCGTGGGCGCGTCGTGTGAGCTCCATGCGCTGGCTGGACCCGCCGAAGTCTCGCCCGGTGTGCGCCCCGTGGGCGCCCCGCTCGCTGGTTGGGTCGGGCGAGGCCTTGCCCGGTGGGCGACCGTGGGCGCCCGTGTGGGGTCCGTGGCAGACTGCACCACGTGGCCGGCCTGCACAACGCAAGCGGTACCACACTGCACCACACAGCGTGCACCAGATGGACTGTGCCACAACTTGCACCCAGTAGACTGCACCACGCGACTTGAACCGCATGGACCGCCCTTCATCGCTCGCGCCACAAGTTGCACCACCAGGAGCTCACAGCACACATATCGCACAACGCAGGTTGCACCACTGAGATTGCACCGCACATACTGCACGTCCAAGAATGTAATTATCAACTAGTTAGGACTTACAACCGTCCGTGGATACGACGAAATCACATAATGCAGGACCTATGTATGGAGCGCATACAAAAAGCATCGATGGCACCGATAGTTGGAATTCCGGGTACATTATCCATGCCAGAAAAGGTTCATCTTAACGTCGTCAACCACAACCAGCATGCACGCACGCCTAAGTCTACATAACAACCACTGCAATACAAGTGATGCATCTTCAACATCCGACGCCCTCCACTCCTGTAGCAAAAGCAGACTCGGAAAGAACATTACCGTGCTTGAAGACGTAGGCGTGTGAAGAAGCACGGGCTGCTCCCCACAAAAAGGCACAACTGGCTGCTCCCCACGAAAAGGTAGCCAAGAGTCTTCGACATTCGCAGCCACATCTCGACGTTTGTCCCCCTTCTAAGCACGAGAGGGGCAACCTATTCAAGCCTGCTCCTGTGGAGAACGGGACGATACTGCCTATTCTCCTGACATCTCACGGGATGCCCGATGCTTTCTGACCAAATGTTCGATGCGATTCCCGTTGTGGCGACGCGGGCGCCTCCAGAGGCCCAAAAGACGGAATCCAAGAGAAGCACCGGCACCGGTAAATGTATTTCTCCTCTGGTTACTGACACGAGCGGGTAATTAGCAGATCAAAGCATGCCCCCTGGCATCTCCGCTCCAACGTGGCTTCCCCATGTTCCCAAGACTCTCATAGCAGGCCTGGCGACTCGGAAGTCTCCGAGAACAGAAGAAAAAAGGCATCGTGCTGTGCTGGAGGCCGACTGCGTGCGGTCGGAGCAAATCAGGTGCGAGACTCACACCTTGGGGGCGGCCAAGAGGGGGGCGTCCAAGAGGGGGGGGGGCGCAAATCGTTGCCAGCGGCATGTGCGCGGCCAAGGGCGGGGGACCAGGAACGTAATGAAATAAGAAGTGGCGCCATGAAATCTGAGGAAATATCATGGCCCACGCCATGATATCCATCCCCCCCTAGTCATCACCCCCCTCTTTGCCGTCCCCGAACACCGAATGGCCGATGCATGGAGACGTCGGGATGGAGAGACTCGTTTCTCAGACCGAGCCGCGTCGCCGACGAGCACCCGCGATGCGGCACCATCCCCTCCGACCACGGCCGGCCTTGGACGCCCGAGCTGTCCCGCATTATACTCTAGTCTGGGGTAACAGTCCGGTGTGGGCCCCCATCGCATGGACCAGGAGTTAGCCCCGACCGCCCCTCACTGCACCGACCTTGTAGACGTGCTGCAGCGGATTTTTGCGTGAATCCTGTCAATGCGAAACCCACAAACGGCGAGCGGAAAACGAAGTGAATTTCGCGTGGATTTGTTGTTCGTCTTCATTCCTGGCTCAAAAAATCCCGCACGAAATTCACTTCGAAATCGGGAACGAAATTCTCCAGGACACTCGCGGCCCGACATATTGATACCCGACAGAGAGCCGCCCTGCGATGTTGGCGCCATGACTCCCAGCCCCGATGATGCGGGAAAAGTTGGGCGCCCAAATCATCCGGGATTAACTCTGGCCGTCGCTCGGACGTCCATTCCCTGCGTGTTTTTCGGTCTCGTGCGCGGTGTTTCGCCAAACGATCAGGAATGCTCCTCGATTTGGGCGCCCGAGTTATCCGGGGTAACTCGGGTCCGGGGTAACTCGGGTTTGGATTCCCGAAAAAAGGAACCCGAGTTAGCCCTGACCCGAGTTACCCCTGATGATGTGGGGCTCTAGACGCCCGAAACATCCGGGGTAACTCGGGCCAGGGGTAACTCGGGTTCGGATTCCCGAAAAAGGAACCCGAGTTAGCCCTGGCCCGAGTTACCCCTGATGATCCGGGGCTCTGATCGATGGCCCTCGCCGAAGGAGAAATTCACGCGTCCGAGCGATGCCAAGAACTCCGGCCTGGGGCAGCTCCTCCGGCGTGGGCCTCCGATGCGCGGATCCAGGAGCTGCCCCCCGACCACCCCCGGACCCTTGACGGTTCGGGGCTCTGGCCGACCAGTCGCCCTCGCTCGGACGTCCCTTTCCCGTGCATGTGTTGGTTTCGTGCGTGCTTTTTTTTTTTTTGCTCGACGGTCCAGGATCGTCCTCCATGGTTCCCGCCGGGAAACAAATTCACACGTCCGAGCGATGCCAGGACCACGGCTGGACAGAGCCCCGAGGGGAGCGCGCGACTTCCCAGCATGCCGTGAGGCGAGCTCTTGCGAGGTCCCGCCCGGGCGGTGCCGAGAGGCTGCGCAGGGAACCCGCGGGGCCCTGCCCCGAGCAGCCCGAGGGCTCCGCTCCAGACTCGGGCATGCGCTCACAGTCGGCTCGGCAGAGATGGGGCCCCGAGGGATGCGGCCCTACGGGGAGGCTGGAAGCACGGAGGGCGGGAATCACTGCGGACAGAGCGCTTCGAGCAAGGGAGATCACGCTCGCGTGGCCCTGCAGTAAACATACCACAGTGGATGCACACACCCCGACACAAAGTTCGGCACGGCCCGACGAAAAAAATACTGCCAGCCTGGAACGAAGACTGGGCCCAGCCCGCTTATGTGTTTCCAGCCTCCTCGTAAGGACGAGGGGCATCGAACAACGTAAATTCAACCTGGGATCTCTTCCTATTCTTAGGTCTCTTCCGTGGATGTATCGCGTGAGCGCCAGGTCCACGGATCGGAGACCCCCCTGCTGAAACTTGCGGCGCATGCCGCCTCTTTTGGCGACGAAGCGCGTCGATTTCTCACCGAAAGCCTGACATCCGCCGATGTGATTAGTTCAATCGGCGGCCTAAGACGTACCGACCGCTTCCAAGGAATAAATTGTCCACGGCCCGACTCGGCCAGTCACGGGACCGAAAAAGGCTCCAGAAGGCCGAAATCGAAACACAACCCGGGCGCGCGCTAACATGGGCTAGGGATCTGTGAATCTGGCGCGTGGGCGCGAGACCCACGGATCGGGGCGAAACGTGCAGCCAACGCCGCCCGATTTGGCGACGAAGCGCGTCGGTGTCGCATGGGCAACGGGGCCCGTCGCTGATCCGCGCGCCTCAATGCTTGTCCACACTTCCTCGCGGAAGACCGCCAGCTGAAAAAATCGGATCGTCAGAGATGAAGGGGCCCTGGGACACAAAAATAAATACACACAAATAACAGGATTCCCAACAGTTTCCCATATATTTCCTGGGTTTTCGTCTTCCCCACTTCCCATATTTTCCCATATTTTCTGGGGAATCGACGATTAATTGTGTCTGCGTTTTTTTGTTCCCTCCTGAAGAGTTCGGGGTCCCCCCTGCGCGAGCCGCCACACGGGAGGAGGCGCAGGTCGTGTAGCTGACGGTGTCCGCCTCGGGCAGGGGCCGAGGCAGGGCGTCCGCGGCGGCCCAGAGACTGGCACGCTGCGGCGCCCGCGGCGTGAAGGTGGGCAGGGGGGAAGGCAGGCGAGTGAGAGGAGCAGGAGGAGGAGGAGGAGGAGGAGGAGGAGGAGGAGGAGGAGGGGGAGGAGGAGGAGGAGGACTGAGCACCGAGAGGGAGGACTGAGGAGGAGAGGCAGAGGAGGAGGATGGAGGACTGAGGGGGCCGAGCAGGAGGGGGAGGGAGGAGGAGAAAGAGGACAAGGAGGAGGAGGAGGAGGAGCAGGCGGAGGAGGAGGAGGAGGCGGAGGCGGAGGAGGAGGGCTGGGCTGGGGGGAGGGGGACTGCTGGCCCTCACGCGATGCTCGAAGCGAGCGCCTCGGGGACGGACGCCTCGCAGCCTACGCCGCCTGGAGGACCGAGGAGGAGGATGAGGTGGAGGAGGAGGAGGAGAGCTCGTAGGGCAACGTCGAGCTGAGGAGGAGGAGGAGGAGGAGGATGAAATGGAGGAGGAGGAGGAGGAGGAGGAGGATGAAATGGAGGAGGAGGAGGAGGATGAAATGGAGGCCTGAGGACTGAGGAGGAGGAGGAGAGCTCGTAGGGCAACGTCGCAAGACCCGAGCGCCCTCTCTCGGGTCGGGCGAAAGGGGGGGGATAGCAAAGGGGGGGGTTTGAGAATCAGCTCACGCAGCTGATTTTCCCGGCGCCTCCCGGCGCCAGAGGCGGCTATGTATCGAGGAATGGGCCCCTCGGTGAAGCCGAAACCAGCTGCATAAATTTTGTACCCCCCCCTTTCCCAATCCCCCCCTTTCGCCCGGCCCGACTCTCCAAGGCGCCAGGGAGGATGGGAGCAGTGGTATGAGAAGGGGGGGGCACGGGGCACGATAGGTAGGCAGGCAGAGAGAAGAGGGAGTGGAAATCGTGGATGGATGCAGGGACAGGGCGGGCGCCGACGAGGCCGACGACGACGCCACTGCCGCGGCACCGGTCGGGCGGCGCTGCGGACGAGCGGGACAGGGCCACCGTGCTGCCACGAGGCACGCCGAACGCGGGAAAGAGCGCTGGGCTCTTCTGGCCACGGCGGGCCTCAGCGGCGGAGAGGCTCCCAGGCCCGCATCCAGGGGGAGGCCCCCGGCACCCGAGGCCCCACTTGCCGTCGCTCGGACGTCCATTTCCCGTGCATTCTTCGGTTGCGTGCGCGTGTTTTTTTTTTTGCTCGATGGTCCAGGGTGGTCCTCGTTGGTTCTCGCCGGAAATAAAAATGCACATGTCCGAGCGATGCCGAGCCCCACCCGAGCCCAAAGCGGTCGCCCTGTGAGCGTCTTGACCGCCCCGGGCGAACGGACGTCCCGTGCCATGAGAGGCCTGGCGGCCCGACGCCTACAGCAGTGCGACGCAACTCCACCTACAGTCAACGCGCATAGTAAGGACAAACGACTTTTTCAAGGGTGCCCTTGGGTCCTTGCCTGCGTCAGCCTCTGCGGCCCGTCCCTAGCAACTTTCGCAAGCCAGTTTCTCAGGTTCCCTGGGGGTTTGGCGGCCTGCCGCCCAGAATACTTCAACTTCGGCCTCCAAGGGTCTTGCGTCCTTACCACGCGTCCTTACTACACGCTTTCACTGTAATCAGCATTCCAGAAACGCTCGTTCTGCTGCCTTCGAGCTGCGGCGGCCCTGCGCCTTTCGGCTGCTCTGGGCGGGGATTCTGCGGAGGGGGCCTGCCGGGGGCGGTCTCACGGAAGCCGGGATGGCGTCGAGGCCGACGCCGGGACCCGCCGGACCCGCCTGCACACCAACCTCCGTGCCCTGCTTTTGCTCCTGCTCCTCCTCCTCCTGCTCCTCTATCTCCTCGTGGGGGGGCACGACACGCGCCCCCCTCACCCCAATAGACGTCCTGTACCTCCTCCTCTTCCTCCTCCTCCTCCTCCTCCTCCTCCTCCTCCTCCTCCTCCTCCTCCCCTTCCTCTGCAATGATTTTTCCTCCCTTTCCCTTTCCCCCCCCCTAGTCCCCTGCGCTTTGCCATTCCCCTCTAACTCGCCTGATCCACCCCATTACAGTCGTCCCCCCGCCTCCTCCCCGTCCTCCTCCCTTCCTTTCCCCATGCCTCGATGAAGGGGCCTTTTGGCATCTGGTGCCCCAGCCCCCAATTCCCATAGAAACAGTTATCCAAGGATGTTCCCCCGGTCGACCGCTCGACTCGCCATAAGCGACGTCGAATCTTGACGAAGCCGCGCGATGATCCTTTCTCCCTCCTCCAGACTTGCTGCCTGCCCATCGCTCCGGGCCTCCACCCTCAGCCTTCCGCAGGGGGGGCGGCAATGGATCCTGACACCCCGCCATTGCGAAATGGCACTGCAACTTGGCGCCGCGGCTTGCGCGGACCACCTTCGCGGCACGCTACGTTAGAAACGAAGGCGCTCACGCGCGACCTTGCCCGGGCAGCTGAATGTCAGCATGCAATTAACAAATCCGGGGGGGGCGCGTGATAAAAAATGATTCCCCTGCTTGGGCGCCAGATTGAAAATCAACGGCGGCGGCCCCAGTGATTAGCGCCGACGCCCAGACGACAACGAAAAGGCGACAAACAGCACAGGCTGGTGGAGGGGGCGTGAGGCAAAGGCGGCAGAAACAGCGACCGTGAGCCGAGGCGGCGCAAGTTCGAAATGAAGAAGAGATGCTGCCGGCGCTCGCCCCCGCACTTTCCGTGCCCTCTTCTGTCGAACCAATGCGCTTCCTTTGCCCTGGCCGCAGCCAGGGGGGCGCCAACTGCCTCGCGGTCCCGCGAGCGACGCGGACTGGACGAAAGGGGGGCGTGGCCAAGCGGGCATTTGCCCAGCAGCTCACACTGCTGATTTTCCGAGCGCCCCCTGGCGCCGAAAGCGGCCATGCATCGAAGACTGGCCCCTCGGCGGGGCGACCGAAGGCAGCTGCGCGCAGCAAATTTCGCAACTCCCCCTTCCTTCCCCAGTCTTTCGTCCGACCCGAGCAATGCGGGCACTCCGCCTTCCCCCTCTGTCGTGGTCTCTGTGGTCGTCGACGGCGAGGACGAGGACGAGGACGAGGACGAGGAGGACGAGGACGAGGAGGACGAGGACGAGGACGAGGACGATGGACGGCAGACGGCAACGGCGGCGACGACGCACTGTGGATGCCCTATGGGGTGGGGGCTGTGCTGGCCAGCTGTAGTCGACGACGACGACGACGATGATGACGACGACGACGACGACCACGACGACGACGAAAACGACGACGACGACAACGACGACGACGACGACGATGACAGCGGCGGCGGTTACGACGACGACGACGACGACGCACTGCGGATTGCCAAAGGGGGGGGGTGCTGCGCAGGCCCGCTGTAGTCGATGACGACGACGACGATGACGACTACGACGACACGACCACGTCGACGTCGGCGACGACGACGACGACGCCTGAAGGGGGAAACAAATCGCCTCGGATGTGTACGACCCATATAACAACTTCTAAACGACAGGCAATCGTTTTGAGGGTGCTATACAAGGAGGTACAAATCCCCTCGGCGGCGCCCGCAACGAACCCCTGGCGCGCGTGTTGAAAAAAGAGTTTCGCACCCCGCGGGGTCTAATCGTCAGCCCCGGGGGGAGGGAGAGAGGGGGGGTACTCAAGTGCGCATCACAAGCTGACATTACGCGCGAATGTGGGCGCAAACGACCCCAGTTTCTTCCGTCGCCCATGTGATTTCTCAATCTGTGGCCTCAGAGGTATCGACCCCTTCCCCAGGGACAGTTTCTCGCCCCCGATCCCCCGATCCATTCGGGAGCGGCCAGGAGGGGGGTGCCCAAGAGGGGGGGTGCAAATCATGACCTGCGGCACGTGCGCGGCCCAGCGGGGGGGGGCCATGGACGCCATGAAACAAGAGGGGGCGCCACGAAATCTGGGGAAATATCATGGCCCCCGCCATGACATCCCCTCCCCCCCCCCTAGTCATCACCCCCCTCTTTGCCGCCCCCGATGTTCAAGGTGGGGGTCCTGCGGTGGGGGCCTGCCGGGGGCGGCCTCACGGAAGCCCGGACAGCGTCGAGGCCGGCGTCGGGACCCGCCGGACCCGCCCGCGCGCCAACCTCCGTGCCCTGCTTTTGCCCCTGCTGCTCCTCCTCCTTTGCCGCCCCCGATCCGTCTCTGACGGACGGCCCCCCGGGGCCGACCGAGGGGCGTGCCGTGCACAGCGAGCCCCGCCCGAGGCCCCACCCTCTGCAGGTGGCCGACGGCAGCAGACTGGGAGGAGGAGGGACGAGGAGGAGGAGGGAGGAGGAGGAGGAGGAGGAGGGAGGAGGCGGAGGAGAAGGGAGGAGGAGGAGGAGGAGGAGGAGGAGGAGGAGGAGGAGGAGGAGGAGGAGGAGGAGGAGAAGGGAGGAGGAGGAGAAGGGAGGAGGAGGAGGCCAAATCAGCTCAAGGGCGTTCCCCGGACCCCTACCCCCTCGGGGTCCCTCTGGTGCAGAGCGCCTCTTCCCGGGTCAGTTTTCTCACGGCCCCAGCACCTACAGCTTCCGCGGCCCGCTGCGCTCCCGCCCCCCCCCCGCCCACCCTCGACTGCACGAGGCCAGGGAGGCTGAGAGCAAGGGAAGGGGACGATTGATCGCACCGGATCCATCTCTGGTGGCTCCCGTGGCCGCCGAAGCGACGTGTTCGCACACACCGAGCTTCTGCGAGCCCCCGCCCTCCGCACAGGAACCGGGAAGAGCGGCGCCACCGCCACCAGGGACCACTGGCGGGCGAAGCCAGAGGGCCCCCCCCCCTCGTCAGGTCGGGCGCGTCCCCCTACAGGCGGAACTTGGAGGAAAAATTGATAGTACCCAAACAATGCACCACAAATGCCCCCCCCCAAAATAATAAAAAAACCTCCCCAGACTCTTTTGGAAACTATCTTTGAATACTCCTCCTGTAGAGGGACAGGCCCGACTGAACCCTGGCGGTGTGCCCCCCTCTCGCTCGAGACGCCCTCCAATCATCCCAAGCTCGGGGAACCATTGTGGACCTCCTCGCCGGAGTTGGCCCCCTGGTGACCCTGGTGGTGGAGGCGGCCAGGGGGTCTGAACCGATTGGGACCCCAAGACATCGGTCAGGAGGGAAGGGTGAACCGATCCCCGCTCCCCGGGTCCATCTGGTACGGTTTTTCACCCCAGATTCGATTTTAGCGTCATGTCGGGCGTGTCCCCCATACAAAGGGCTTTTCGACGAAAATTGGAAAGATACCCCAAAAATGCACCAAAAAGGTTAAACAAATACAAAAAAATAGTCCCCCGACTGTTCTTGGACGATTGTTTGATTATTTGTTGGGGTATTTTTTATTTTTCGTCGACAATCCCCCTGTTTGATTATTGTTTGATTATTTTGGGGGTATTTCCCTACCTAAGCTCTGCCTAGAGTGTTCTTACTCTCTTTCTTAAAGGGGCCGGGCAGTGCACACCGCCCCGGGCGGTTCCCCCAGTATCCGCCCCGCGGTTCCCCCAGTTACGTCCCCTTAGCTTAGCGTTGCTTACCTCATCTTAGCTTAGCTTAGCTTGGAGCATTTTGCCATTTTGCCTCAAGCGCTAGACGTGATCAACCTCATCGCTGACCCAGATGGCCAAGTCGTGCGGTAGTAGACCGGATACGGAGCATTGAGCGAATGCGAAAACATGTGTGTGTGCGTCTGTGCGCAGGCAAAGCAAGAACAAAATCAAGCAAAAGCAACAGCAAGATCAAAGCAACAGCAACAGCAAAAGCAAAAGCGAAGGCAAGGCAATGCAAAGCAAAAACAACACAAATGCGAAAGCGTAGGTGTAGGTGTAGGTGTAGATGTAGATGTAGATGTAGATGTAGGTGTAGCTGTAGGTGTAGATGTAGATGTAAATGTAGGTGTAGATGTAGGTGTAGCTGTAGATGTGAGTCTCGCGGTTGATGTTGATGTGGAGTAGATGCAGGTGTAGATGTTCGTGTAGCTGTCGGTGCAGATGTAGATGTTGCTCTCCTAGATGCTCCGACTCCTAAGTAGGGTCGCGCTGGGATGAGTGTTATCTTTCGTCGAAAATCCCCCTGTAGGGGGACAGGCCCGACTTACTTTTCGCGGCGGTCCTGGGGCCCGACTGCGGCCCCCATGTGACAAAGAAAGACACGACAGAACCTCATCGCACCAGCGGCACCTCGAGCCTTCCCCCCCCCCTCCTGCTCGCCGGAACCGCTGCCGGGCCCCCTCAGACCCCCAGCCGACTTCGACGTTCCTCCCCCCCCCTCCTCCTCCCTCCCTCCCTCCCTCCCTCCCTCCCTCCCTCCTCCTCCTCCTCCTCCTCCTCCTCTCCTCCTCCTCTCCTCTCTCCCCTCCTCCTCCTCCTCTCCTCCTCCTCCTCCTCCCTCCTCCCCCTCCCCCCTCTTCCTCTCCTCTCCTCCGCCTCCTCCTCCTCATCTCCCTCCCCCCTCCTCCTCCCCCTCCTCCTCCTCCCCTCCTCTCTTCTCCCTCTCCTCCTCCTCCTCTCCTCCTCTCTCCTCCTCTCCTCCTCCCCTCCTCCTCCTCCTCCCTCCTCCTCATCCTCCTCTCTCCTCCTCCTCCTCTCCTCCTCCTCTCCTCCTCCTCCCACTCCTCCTCCTCCTCCTCTCATCCCCTCCTCCTCCTCCTCCTCCTCTCCCTCCTCCTCCTCCTCCTCCTCCTCCTCCTCCTTCTCATCTTCCTCCTCTCCTCTCCTCCTCTCCTCCTCCTCCTCCTCCCCTCCTCACCCTCCTCCTCCCCTCCTCCTCTCTCCTCTCCTCCTCTCCTCCTCCTCCCCTCTCCCCTTCCTCCTCCTCTCCTCCTCCTCCTCCTCCTCCTCTCCTCCTCCTCTCCTCCCCTCCTCCCTCCTCCTCCCTCCTCCTCCTCTCCTCCTCCTCCTCCTCCTCGCTCCTCCTCCCCTCCTCATCTCCTCTCCTCCTCCTCCTCCTCTCCTCCTCTCCTCCTCCGCCCATCCTCCTCTCCCTCCTCCTCCTCATCCTCATCCTCCTCTCCTCTCCTCCTCCTCCTACTCCTCCTCTCCTCCTCCCCTCCTCCTCCTTCATCCCCCATCTCCTCCCCTCCTCCTCCTCCTCCTCCTCCTCCTCCTCCATCCTCCTCCTCCTCCTCCTCCTCCTCCCCCTCCCCTCTCGCTCGAGACATCCCCTAATTATCCCCAGCTCGGTGAGCTATCGTGGACCTCCTCGCTGGAGGTGCCCCCACGGGATGGTGGTGCCGCTTCTGCTTCCCCCGATACGGACGGACCGACGGCAGCAGACGTGAGGGAGCAACGACCCTCCGATCCGGAGCCGCGCCACCGAGAGGCGCGGCCCTGAGGCGGAGGGTCGCTGCTTCTCCGGAGCCCACGAAGATCTCGGGACCGACGAAGCGACGTGCTGCATGCATCGAGGCCCATCCAAGCAAGGATGCGAGAGATGATCGAAATCTTTTTCGGTCTGGGAGCTTACTCACCAGTTGCGTGGTGACTCCAGCCTTCAGGCCTGCCCACGACGCTCTCGGGGACCAAGCGACGTGGTGCATGCATCGAGCCCCTCCATACCCCCCCTCCGCCAGCGCCAGGGGAACGGCAGCAGACGAGCGCGCCCTGAACGCAGCAGCGTCTTCAACGGCCGCGGGAAGTCACCGCGCAGCGCGCGGGGCAAAGGGACCCAGTATACCCGACGAAAAACAATTCGGTGTCTTGATGCGCGTCCTCACTGCATGCGTCGAGCTCTGTCGAGCCCCCCCTCCGCGAGGGGGACACGGCAGCGGAGCAGGAGAAGCGAGGAGAAATGAGGGAGAAGTTAGGAGGCGGAGGAGGAGATGGGGGAAGAGGAGGAGGAGGAGGAGGCGGAGGAGGAGGAGGAGGCGGAGGAGGAGGAGGAGGAGGAGGTGGAGAAGGAGGAGGAGGAGGAGGAGGAGGAGGAGAGGAGGAGGAGGAGGAGGAGAGAGAGAGAGGAGAGAGAGGAGAGAGAGAGGAGAAAGAGAGAGAGAGATGAGAGGAGGAGAGGGAGGAGCAGGAGGAGGAGGGGGAGGAGGGGGAGGAGGAGGAGGAGGAGAAGGAGGAGGAGGAGAAGGAGGAGGAGGAGGAGGAGGAGGAAGCGAGAGGAGAGAGAGGAGGGCGAAGGAAGGTGGAGGAGAAGGAGGAGGAGGAGGAGGAAGAGGAGGAGGAGGGAGGAGGGAGGAGGGGGAAGGAGGAAGATGAGAAACGCGGAGGAGGCGGAGGAGGAGGAAGAGGAGAAGAGAGGAGGAAGGAGAACGGAGGAGGAGGGAGAACAGCAGAGGACAGAAGAAGACCCTCCTCCAGGGGGGGACGACGGCAGCGGACGATGGGGACCAGCGACCTGCGCCCCCCGGGGGCGCCGAGGGCGGCCTCCAGCCCGTGCGCCACCATCTCGCGGAGCCAGTGCTCGGCGCCGTCCTGGCCCCCAGGCCCCCCCCCCTTGCGGGCGAGGCCCAGAGATCCAACGCACGCTGAAGCAGTGAAGGCGGAGGGTGTCCGCCCTTCTCGGCCTCGAGAGGGCCCTGCGCTCGCCGGGCCCGGGCACCGTCGAAAACTGCCCGGGCGGAAAAACTGGCCCTCGAGGAAGGCTCGGAACCTCCGGGAGCCCCGTCTTGAACAACCGCGGCGCCGGACCTCTGTGGATTTGCACCCACGCCCACTGCGTCTTGGGCGCTGCAAGGCCGGGGCGCGCGGCGCACTGGATATGGACGAGCAGAGTCCAGCCTCCGGGGGCTAGAGTCTTCATCCGTGTCCACTGCGCCATTGGTTCCTGGGGAAGGGGGCCCGACACTACAAGACGCAGCGGATATGGATACGAGTCTCGCCCGCATCCCTCGGGACGAGATGGTCTTGTGCATCTGGGCTCACTGGGTCCTACCAGGATTTCACGGATGTTGCGTTCAGCGAGCTGTAGTGTGACATCTTTGCGCGGGCTAGGGATGCTGGACTGCACGTCATTTCCCTCTCCAAAGTCAAGAGCAAATGTCTCGGGACCGCCTCGCTGTGGGCTGGGAGCCGTGAAGCCGACAGATTGGCCAAGATGAGGGTTGAACTGCACCCCCACAGCCCAGAAGTTCGGATACGTGGCCCAGTAGTCTCATGTAGGCCAGAGCGTGACCCTCATCCACACGACGATGAGAAACCTTCTTTCTATGCTCGGCCTCCCCGATGCACTAAAAGTCCGAACGAAATACCGTACCCGACCGTCTCAACTCAAACTGGTGCCAGAAGCTCGAGGCCACCAACTGGCCCGTGTCCACCAAAAGGGTAGGCATCAGCGCACCATTTGCGGAGAAGCGGGCAGTACAGTAGGTATTTGTAGGATGGAGTGTCATGGCATTCCCAGGATAGCGAGGTCAGACCAGCTGGCCAATTCTTTCTGGATGGGGGGGTGGGAGGGGTGTAGGGGGGTCGTGTCGTTTGGTGCTCCAAGTGCGGTGCGTTCGGGACAACTCGATCGAACTACCTGCCAACAGGATGCCACGCCCACCCTCGTAGAAACGGCAAGATGAAGGCGGATGTTCAAGTCTGGCATGGGCCCGTCCACTCGGAAGGAGCTTGGACGGAGTGTATGTATCCAGCGGTAAGCCCTCTGTTGCGCCGTGCCGCCGCTGCTGCCCAGTGGCCGACGGCGGTTGCTTCCACGTCTCAAGACGGCCCAAGAAACCCCCACGACGGCCCCACGACGGCACAAGAGGACCCTAAGCGGGTCTCAACGCGGTCCAAGAGGACACCACGATGGCGCGAAAAGAATCCAAGACGGCCCGAAGACGGCCCAAGTGTGCCTCCCGTGGGGCCCAAGGCAGCCCAAGACAGCCAAGACAGACGGACTGAGACGGCGCCAAGACGGCACCCCCGCGGCCCCCATACACCCACCATAGAACCCAGAGGACTCCGACACGTCCCAGGAAGGCTCCAAGAAGGCGTTGGAGGGCCATACGACGACCCACGAGGGCCCCAAGGAAGCCACGGCAGCTCCAAGACGACCCAAACGAGTCTCATCAGAGCTCTTCAAATAATGAGGACGGAAGGTGTCACCTGTGACGGCAGTCATCTTCCTCCTTGTCATGCAGCTCATCCTCCTCCTCCTCATCATCATCAACCTCCTTATCCTCCTCCTTGTTCTCCTCCTTCTTCCTCCTCGGCATGGTCGTCGTCATCATCATCATCAGCATCATCATCATCATCGTCGTCATCATCATTACCATCACCAGCAACAACATCAGCGACCAACATCCTCATCAACATCACCACAATCATCAACAGTCATCATGATACGTGCCCACATCCCCACTCGAATCATCGTGTTCACCATCAGCATCAACAAAGTCGTCAGCATCATCATTGTCACCATCATGATCGGCATCATCATAATTATCAGCATCACCATCACCACCACCACTATCGTCATCGTCATCATCATCACCACCACCATCATCCTCACCTCCACCAGTATCATCACCATCACCACCACCATCATCATCGCCAACAGCATCAGCATCCGCATCATCATCAAGACTGCATAATCATCATCATCGTCATCAACATCATCATCATCATCATCACATCAACATCATCCTGGTCCCCAACAAACGTCTAATCCCCATCATCCTCATAACAACTCCCCGAAGCCTGGAGACACGAGGTGTCAAACGTGACGGCCTCCCATTTTCCCTCGACCAGTCGCAACGCAAAATGCTGGACTGGCAAGGTGGCGGGACTTGCCGCAAATCACTGGACATGCACATCCACGCCCTGGCGGTCTGGATTCTGGGGCGCGATCCCTTGGATACGAGGTCGCATGGCTGGCCGTCGCTCGGACGTCCATTCCCTGTGCTTTTTGTCAGTTTCGTGCGTGGTTTTTTCTCGCCAAACGATCAAGAATGCTCCTCGATGGCCCTCGCCGAAGGAAAAATGCACACGTCCGAGCGATGCCAAGATGGATAGGCTCCCTGCGGGGCATCCGCGAAAAACGCCCCGCACCCACGGGATCGCGGCCCTGAAGCCCGGCCCGCGAGGCCATGGATGCAGAGATGCGCCCCCCCTGCGAAGAGTGTGAAGGGGCCCTCGGGCACACAAATAAACACACACAAATCAAAAGATTCCCCATGTTTTCCCATCTTTTCTGGGTTTCTGTCTTCCCCCCCACTTCCCATAGTTTCCCTTATTATCTGGGGAATCGATGATTACTTGTGTCTGTGTGTTTCTTTTCCTCCTGAGAGTGGCCTGTAAGGTCAGGGCCCGAGTGAGAGGAGGCCTTGCCAGTCCGCAGCCTTCAACATCACAGCATCGTCCTGAGACCGCTCAGGCGTGGCCCCGACCAGCTGGGCAAACAGATCCGCATGATCGATGCGCTCGCCACAACTCGAGCCTTCGCCTGACAGGTTTCATTCAAAGAAGCCACCAGCAAACGTGAACGAAAATGTCAATACTCTGTATTGGGATCGTGTCGACGTCCGCTCTTTGACGTCCGACGACTCCGCCGGAATCGCCAATGCACCAATGCGCTTCCGCTGGTGTCACAAGTAGAGGCTGGTGCAGACGTGCCCTCCCGCAGCGCGCTTCGAATCGAGAACCCAACTGCCCAACCTCTCATGCTCACTTCAATCAGCAATTCAACGTGGGAAATGTTTGGAACATAATTACTCTGATGCTGTCTGAGATAAACACCACCGCCGTGCCAGCGCCACATGAAGGTCACATGGATCCACAATTCTCCCCCCATGCTTCCACATTGTGTTACGGGGCACATATGAAAACCCAGGCCGCCGCTATGCCCTCCCGAGGAGATTCAATGTAACCATGTTGGAGCCGCGAACTTATATCCATATCCAGTGCGTCTTGGACTTTCTTGGAAGGGGCGTCGCAAGGCCTAGGCGCACTGGATATTGATACACATCGAGCCTCTAAGGGCCAGGTCTGTTTCCATCTCCAATGCGCCTCGGGCTCCTTTGGAAAGGAGTCCGACACCCCAAGCTGCAGTGGATACGGATACCAGGCGTGCCCGCAGTGTGGACCCCTCTGCTGGCTGTACTGATCTAATTTTGCGCTGTTGGATTCTCAATGGGGGAGCTGGTCCGGGCTGGCTTGGGTCTGATATGGACTTGTCGACTCGAAGGCCGTTGGGCTTGCCGCCTTCTAAAGTGGACCAGGAGTGAAGAAGCACAGCTCTGAAAACGCATGCTCCGACCTAAGCAACCCTTCCTCAAATTATGTTGTTTGAGGTCATGTCCTGGCCCTGTTCCCTGGGGGGGAGAAAGAGGCTTCCCCAGTTCCTCGGGTGTGCTCCACACGCTCCTCGAAGACCCCTCCCCGCTCAAGATCAAAAAAATGACGCAAAGCCAAGAAATGCAGTGCAAGTCCGCCGACCCCCTTGGGGTCACGGCGTGTGAGATGCTTGCCCCTCCCCAATCCCCTCCCCCGGGAACCCGGTCCGGCCGGTTTGGAGGCAAAGGGGAACAAGACCGATTCCATCCGCTTCGGACTGTTCAAGAACTGCTTCGGACGGATTGCAACCACTGGAAACGGACTGATCGCAACCTAAAGGATTCCTATACAAACCCTTCCGGGAAATAAAACAGGAACAAAAATGCAACCGATCCGCGAGCTTCTGCAGAACTCTCTGAGAGGCCTCTGAGAAGCCTCAGCAAGGCCTTTCAGAGGCTTCTCTGAGGCCTTTTTTCAAAGGCCTCTCTGAAGCTTTCAGAGGCTTCTCTGAAGACTTTCTCAAAAGCTTCTCTGAAGCCTTTCAGAGGCTTCTCAGAAGCCTTGTCAGAAGCTTCTCTGAACCCTTTTTTTTCAGAGGCTTCTCTGATGATTTTCAGAGGCTTCTCTGAATCCTTTATTTTCAAAAGCTTCTATGAAGCCTTTCAGAAGCTGCCCTGAAACCTTGTTCAGACTCTTCTCTGAAGCCTTTCAGAGGTTTCTCTGAAGCCGTGTTTTTTCCAAAGCCTTCTCTGAAGCCTTTTCTTTCAGAGGCTTCTCTGTAGCCTTTCAGAGGCTTCTCTGAAGCCTTTTTTCATAAGCTTCTCTCGAGCCTTTCATAGGCTCCTCTGAGGCCTTTCAGAGCCTTCTCTGATAAACTTCCTTGAGGCCTCTGATAGGCTGCTCTGAGGCCTCTGAAGAGTTGCGCTGAAGCATCTGAAAGAGTTATCTGAAGCCTTTCGAGAAGCTTCTCTGATAGACTTCTCTGAAACCCTGGTAGGCTGCTCTGACTCCTCCGAGAGGCTTCTCTGAGAGGCTTCGCGCACCTAGGGACACGGTGGAGCCACTGTACCCGACGAAATTCAACGTTGAACGATGATGGCCGTGATCGATTCGAGGTTGTACAATCGACGCGGTGCCAAAAGCCTTGGGAGTACCGACGCCACACGAACCTACCGTAGGGAAGTTCGTCCAGACCTCTGGGGGTCGACGTTATGGACAAGTCATGACGTTGGGGGTCTGGGCCGCCGCGTCTACCCGCCTTGCCATCCTATCCTCTTCCTTTTTCTCCCCCTCCTCCTCCTCCTCCTCCTCCTCTTCCTCCTCCTCCTCCTCCTCCTCCTCCTCCTCCTCCCCCTCCTCCTCCTGCTCCTCCTCCTCCTGCCCTTCCTCCCTCCCCTCCTCCTTCTCCCTTCCTCCTCCCTCCTCCTCTCCTCCTCTTTTCCTCTCCTCCTCTCTCCTCCTCCTCTCCTCCTCCTCCTCCTCCTCCTCCTCCCCTCCTCCTCCTCGCCTCCTCCTCCTCCCCCTCCTCGTCCTCCTCCTCCTACTCCTCCTCCTCCTCCTCCTCCTCCTCCTCCCTCTCCCCTCCTGAGATGCATTTTGTTTCACACCAGCGTTTTCGCTCAATTTCGGTTTCAATCGTATACGAAGCACATAGGCATCGTATACGGATCATGGTCACGTTCGAGCTCAAGTACATGCGTTTAGCTGAGATCATGATCGGCCGTCTGTGATCGGACCGATCGCAACCGCTTTTTCAGATTCCCATTGGGCGGCTTGCCGGAGCTCATTGCACCCAGAAGCACTATTGTGATCTCTTCCTAAATCAAAGCCTTATTGAAACGACTCAAAAACATCGCAACCACTTCGGGCCGATCGTAACTGGTTGCAATCGGTCCGAAGTGGTTGACGGTCGGTCCGAAATGGTTGCGATCGGTCGTGCTCCCAGGGGCAAATGTGTCATCAGGCCCCACGGGGCCCCTGAGAGCCCCACGCAGCCCCCACGACGGCCCAAGAGGCCCCCAAGACGCCCAACGGTCGGCCCAAGACGCCCAGGATGGCCCCGAGACGGTCCCAGAAGCCTCCCAGACGGCTCCAGAAACTTCCAAAAGCATCCCCAAGAGGCCAAAATCGTCGAATTCCTAGGGAAACGTGCATTTCTATCATACGCGACTTTTCGACCTTCACGGCGTTGAAGACGGCTCCAGGGTCCCCCAAGACCGCCCCAAAACGGCCCAAGAGGCTCCCAAAGGCGCTCGGAACGACCCAAGAAGGCGCCAAGACGGCCCAAGAGGCTCTCAAGACGGCCCAAGAGTGCCCCAAGATGGCCCAAAGAGGGGTCCAAGAGGGGGAGCCTGAACCAACACGGCCCCAGGGGGACCCCAGGGGGACCCAAGAGGCGCCCAACAGGGCCCATGAGGCCCCCAAGAGGGCCCCCAAGAGGCCCCAAGAGGCCCCCAAGAGGCCTCCCAGGAGGCCCCCAAGAAGCTCAAAAGAAGCCCCAAATACCACTTGAGGCATGTAACTTCTAACCCGCAATTCAGGCGCCAAGGATCTCAGGCCGACAACCAAGGCACGGTGGCGGGATGGGCCAGAGACCACTATTATATATGTATAGATATACATATATATATATATATATATATAAATATCTGAACTGCCGCGGTCATCTACCTCGATCGAGAAGAAGAAGAGGAGAATAACGAAGAGGAAGAGGAGAAATAGGAACAAAAAAAAGATTTCGTCGTGGCCGCCGCTGTCACACAGACTTTCATGGTCTTTACCGTTCGGTGCCGGGGACCACCGGCGAAAGTCCGGGATGAGGATCGACCTCCCTGGCCGGTGCCACCCCTTCGCAAAAAAAGGAACACGGGGTGGATCGAGGCTCGAGGCATGAGACTCGTAGTTCTTGGGCGCTCTCCGCCCCTTCTTGGGCGCTCTCCGCCTCGTCGACACAGCTGGGTCCACTCTCGAACTTCTGGCCGGACGCAACCCCAGCTGGGTCTCAACGATCCCCGAGCCTATCCAGGAGGTGGAAAAGGAGGGCTGGGACAGGCCCCGTGAAGGCCCCAAGAAACTCACATAAACCCGTGAAAAAACTTCAAAACAATCCCCTACAAGGCCTCCCCTTGAATCCCACACGCTACGTAGGACCAGCCGAACCCCCAAGAATGCCCAGTGATCGCGCGCGTTCCGCGAATTCTGTGTTTCATTCTTGCTGCCGCCCCAGGGGTCGGCGGTGCGGCGTAAGCCAATGAATCATGAAGGAAAATTTAGTAAGATGCAAACCAGACCACTTCAAAGCGACTGGCATCCAAACAAGGAGAAGCAGCGCAACGGATACAAACAACGCAATGCAATGCACAGCCGCTCAATGCAAAGCAAACCGGATCGAAGTGCAGGAGAGCAATCCCACACCCTGAGACATCTTGCCCCCATTGTATTCACCTTGTTGTCAGGCTGATCTGGGTAAAATTCAACCATGTTCGGCTTATTGCCAAACAACGGCGGAATACGGCTGCTCACCCGTCGGCGGCCAGCCCGGGGGGAACTGAGAGGGGCGGGCCTTCTCGGGAGACTCAGAAGTCCTTCGGACTTCTGGGCAGCGTTCCAAGCCTTCCCCGCAAACACAGAACACTTCTCAGAAGGCCAGGGGGCTTCTGAGAAGACCCGCCAGCTTCTGAGAAGGCCTTCTCATTCTCAATTCCCCCCTCGCTCGCCGTCGACATTCGTACTGTATGCGATTGCGCGCGAGGCTCCGAAGATTTGGGTGCCCTCTAGGCTGGCAACTCAGAACTCCTCACAAGTCCGTAGGCGCGAAAAGGCCCACGCACAACGCCACATTGACGGAACTGTCGACAACAGCGGATGCCCTTCCCTGCGCCCCTCCGCGTTCTTCACGCGGGCGCTCGTGCCGATGAGAGCGTTGAAGGTGAGCGCGTCTGGCTCGAGTCCAGCCCGCCTGGCGTGGGAAGACTCGTTCCCTCCGAGCCGCCACCGCCGCCGTCGCCGCTCCGCTGCTGCCGCCGTCCTCCCCGTCCTCCGCTCTCTCTCTCCCTCCGCACGCCCACTCCCACCTCGCTCCCTCCACCCTCCCTGAACCCCGTCAGACCGAACCTTCCCCATCATCACCCTCCCCCGCCTCCTGCTTCTCCTCCCCGTCCTCCTCCCCCCCCCTCCCCCCTCAATGTCTACACCACAGGCTGTGCGCAACTGCGGCCTGTGACCAGCAGAGTGCAGATCTGATGCCCCTCGGGGGGGCAAATGGTCCATCGCCGCCAGCTCTGCTGACTGACCGTGAATACAGGGGCAATGCTGTGGGGAGGGGATGGGGATGCAAAGCGGAAGGGTATCCGAATACATTTTTTCTTGGAATTCGGAACTCGGAATTCCTTATGGATTATCCGGTTTCGTGCCCATCCCACCGCTCCAATGAGGCTCCGCCAGGGCGAGGAGGGTATCGGAACACAATATGAATTATCAAGCTTCGTGCCCCTCCCATCCGCCAGAGCGAGGACGGTATCGGAACACCATATTGTTTCACCAAGCTTCGCGCCCCTTGCACCCCTCCAAAGAGGCCCCGCCAGAGCGAAGAGGGTATTGGAATGCTTATTGTTTGATAAGTATGGTGCTCCCTCCTATTATCATGAATCCTCTTCTCCTTGCCCCAATTCCATGCTACTTCCCCTCCTCGCCTTCGGCGGTCCATCCGTGAGTATATTTGCACTTCCTGGGTCTTCGGGTTGTCTAATGGCTTATTGTGCCCCCTGGATCCCGTCAGCTCCGAAACATCCTTATGTGGGGAACTCTGGTAGCACAATTGGTTGCCAATCATTTCCCCATGCAAGCTCTTGCATACTCTGGACTGCCAATCGCCAATGTGTCCGCAACTACGGTAACACTGGCTCTTCCCGCAGTTTTGCATCAGTCCTGACTTCAGCATCTTGTTGGTCGTCTCTCTTGCGCGATATTGCTGGGCCCGCCCGTCGAAGCCAAGTGCGTCGTAGGGCGCAGCCGCCCCACGACATCCAGGCATTGGCTGTCCTGGCGAAGCGCTTCGTGGTTGTCTAACTCGGGTCTTGTCTTCCTGAGCTGCTCAACCTCAGTTGGTATGGTTGTCTGTGTGGTGAGTTGCAATGTACCCCTTCCCCACTCAATCGCGACATTCCCGAACGCTTATTGGGACGAATCCCCCTTTGATCAATCCTCCTGGCCCTTTCCCATGACTTTCTTTTGACGCATTGCCCGTGGGTCATCTTCCCTCCTCTGTCTCACCCTCAACAACATGTGGTATGCTTACTGGTGCTTCCAAACAGTTCGCAACTATGTGCCCGAATAAGCCGAACTGGTAACACTTGTGCCCCATTTCCTCGTGTCCCTTCGCCGCTGTCACCAACATCCACGCCTTTGCCTCCCTCATTATCGCCGTCCCAATTAACACACTTTGCCCACAAACAACCGTCCTCGTCCACATCATCCTCGGTGATCCAACCTTCGTGCGTGTCCCAGGTGATAGCACGTGTTCCTCTCTATTCCCGCTCGCGCCCCCGATGTCCATGGCGTGGTATCGGCATAGCATACTATCTTACGTGCCCAGTCCCCAGAAGTAGCGAAGAGTGCCTAGTGGTGTTCTTCTGTGAGCGAGTCCTGAATATTGAAACATTATTTGTGCCAACCCTCGGGCCATTCTCGGACATGTGTCAGGCGCCGTAGTTCTAAAGAGGCACACTTGACGAGTAAGCTGGAACACGTTTTTCGAGGGTCCCCATGAAACCCGTGCACTGTTCTAACTGAGTGGCCACGTCATCTGGCTACATCGGCTTGCCACAGATCGTGACTGAACTCACTATTGCCGACAAGGTAGTTCCGATAGCTGCGGGATACCATCCGTGCATGTTTGATGCGCCAGTACGGCAGGTTCGTGTCGTGCCGACCCCAGCGTTGGTTTTTGACACCGCAGGGATCGTTCAACCTTGAACGATCGGCCGTCTCCGCAACGTCCGATCGTTCAACATCGACCGATTCTGGGCCGCCGTCGGCGTTCAAAGTTGAACGCCCGCGCTGGGGTCGCCGCTGGTCGACACGACGCGAACCTACCGTACATGTTTGATATGCCTGGACCCCGTCTGCCTCCAGGAGTCCCTTCGGCTCTCCCGTGGGGCCCACCCTGCCCGGCGTGCCGACTAGAACATGCCGCCCGCCCCAGCTTGCCAGGAGAGCCCAGGACCGGAGCGAAAGATCGGACCGACGATCGAACCGAACCGGATCGGCGGGCATCGGCAGCGGAATCGGGAACAAAGACGAATCGGCAGAAATCGGCAAGCTCGTGTGCCTCGGATCAGATATCGGAACCCAACTCGGAATCCCAAGTCGAATCGAATCGGCATCGGAAGTCCTCGGAACCGAATCGAATCGAATCGGAGGAATCGAACTGAGCCCTGGCGTGTGTACTGTCTTCGCTTATTCCAGAGTTTCCTCCTCCTCCTCCTCCACCCCCTCCCCGTCCTCCTCCTCCCCCCCTCCGCCTCCTCCTCCTCCTCCTCCTCCTCCCCCTCCTCCTCCTACTCATCTGTTGGTCATTGGGCTCCTCGGTGGCAGGCCTATGAAACCTCACACCACCAAGCCGAAAAACTAAACAATTCGAATCAATCCGCTTCCCGAACGGGCTTGCCCGTGTAGGGATCACAGAAATTCAGGATTCGATCTCTATAGAATCGGCAACTCTTGAGAGCCACGACCCCTCGCCGCAGGGGTCCGTCACAATCTCTGAGTCGCCTTTGAGCTCGAGACGTTCCTTCTCCTCCTCCTCCTCCTCCTCGTCCTCCTCCTCCCCCATCCCCTCCCCCCCTCCCCCTCCTCCCTCACCATCCTCCCCTCCTCTCCTCCCCCTCCTCCTCCTCCTCCTCCTCTCCCTCCTCTCCTCCTCCTACTCCCTCCTCCTCCTCCTCCTCCTCCTCCTCCTCCACCTCTTCCTCCTCCTCCTCCTCTCCTCCTCCTCCTCCTCCTCCTCCTCCTCCTCCTCCTCCTCCTCCTCCTCCCCCCCTCCCCCCCCTCCTCCCTCCCCCTCCCCCCTCCTCCCCTCCTCCTCCTCCTCCTCCTCCTCCTCTCCTCCTCCTCCTCCTCCCCCTCCTCCCCCCTCCCCCTCCCCCTCCCCCTCCTCCTCCTCCTCCTCCTCCTCCTCCTCCTCCTCCTCCTCCCTCCTCCTCCTCCTCCTCCTCCTCCTCCTCCTCCTCCTCCTCCTCTTCCTCATCCTCCTCCCGTAAGCTCTGCTGCCGTCGACCTGCCATTGAGGATCCTAACCACGCCATCATCCTCGTCATGCAGCGTCCCATCCACTGTTCCAAGTGTGGCTCCTGAACGATTCAACGCTCGGCGACACCGAGAATTGACCTGTGCCAACCCGTGTGGCAGCTTCTCGCTCCACTCGCGAAATTCGGTTCCGTCTCCTTATTCGCTGACAATAGGATGTGCTCCTCTGTTGCTGCCTTTTTACTTTCAGCAATCGGCGCCGCTAGCTTAGCGACCTGCTCAATGTTATTAGATTGTGCGTCCGTTTGTTGTCCCAACGTTTCAGCTCTCAACTGTAGTTGCTTGGCCTCTCTCCGTCTCTCTCTGCGCACATGTTGCGATTGACGATTTGCTGGCCGTCTCTCTATGACACTTACCATTCTCTCACGATTGGCCATTCGGGCTGAATTCGCAGAGCTGTAACCACTTCACTGCTAAGCCGCTTGAAGTGCGCTCCAATCGAAATGCGGGTCTCCTGGATGCACGGGAGCTGCTGTTGCTGCTGCTGTTGCTGCTGCTGCCGTCAGGCTCGCTCCGCTACGATGCAAATTCCCGCAATTGATTTGCACGAGAACGGACTGATGTTACGTGTCACAAGGCAATGCGCGGACTGAGAACTGCGTGCTTACTTTAGCCCAACGGCATCGGTAACGACATCTGCCTGACCTCTAAACGAGAACATCCTTCTCAGCCAGTCGCAACGCTATAGTCTAACAGTTCCTCCTCCTCCTCCTCCTGCTCATCCCCCCTCCCGCCCACAGATCGGACGTTGCGAACACATCGCAACTACGCGGCACATCACGACCAGAGACCTAGTCGTAGGTCGGGCATGTTCCACTACAGGCGGATTCTGGATGAACAAAAGATCAAGACATACAAAAACATGATCCAACCTAGTAGAAAAAGCGCCCCCAGACTGTGTTGTTTCGGCCTAAGACTGGGCAAAGGCGCCCGACGCGAGCAAAAACTGCAACGCCTGGACCTCCGCTGATGGGCCTACCGTAAGTTGGAGGGGAGGAGGAGGAGGAGGACGAGGAGAACGAAGAGGAGGAGGAGGTGGAGGAGGAGGTGGAGGAGGAGGCGTCGGAGGAGGAGGAGGAGGTGGAGGAGGGAGGTGGAGGGAGGAGGAGGACACCCCCTTCCAACGTATGGCGGTGATGGTGTGGAAAGAGGCCCTCATCACTCCTCTCCTCCCCCTCCTCCTCCTCCTCTCCTCCTCCTCCTCCTCCTCCTCCTCCTCCTCCTCCTCCCTCCTCCTCCTCCTCCTCCCCCTCCTCCCCCTCCTCCTCCTCCCCTCCCCCTCCCCCTCCTCCTCCTCCTCTCCCTCCTCCTCCTCCTCCTCCTCCTCCTCCTCCTCCTCCTCCTCCTCCTCCTCCTCCCCTCCATGAGGCCACCCGCTCTCGGCCCTGCCCCAGGCAGAGCCAGGCCGCGGCTTCGGCGCCGCCGCCTCGAAGACAGGGGAACGGGAAACCCCAGCCAAGCGCGGCGCTGGCGACAAAGCAGCGGCGAGGCTCATCTGAAGAATCAGCATCATCAGCCCGCATCGTCCTCGTCGTCGTCGTCGCCGCCGTCGTCGTCGTCGTCGTCGTCGTCATGGTTGTAGGCGTCGGCGTCGGCTTCCTTTTCCTTCTTTGCCTCTTCCTCTTCCTCCTCCACCTCCTCCTCCTCATCCTCTTCCTCTCCCTCTTCTCTCGGATTGACCTCCTAAAGAGACCTCTGGATCTCCGCCTGCCAGCGGATCTCAGTCCCCCCTTCCCCCCCAGGCTGCGGGACCCCGCCTCATGTCCTGGTACCTCGCGCCTGCACCCGTCTCGTCCCCCGTCCTGGCGTGGGCCTGCGCGGGTGCGCGCGGACTGCGGGCTGGAACAGATGCTGAGCTACCTCAGCCCCGCAGAAGTTTCAGGTTTCCGGACAGTTCTCGGCAGCTTCCCGCTCGCGGGATGCCTTCCTGCCGCTGGCTGCGCATCGACGAGAGCGGCCCGAAGCTGCTCAGATTATCCACCCGAAAGTCCGCCGGAGGCCCGAGCTATGACCTGAAAGCAAACAGGGGAGCAAACAATAACATAGCTATAAAAACTCGGAAGTCCGCGCGGATTCCTGGATCGGCGCTGGGGCCCCCTGGTCAGTCGTTCTTGGGAAACATCTACCTGGAATCGTCGATGCATCGCCGACAGAATGTCGATGGGCCCCGGGTAGTGGGTCCGCAGTTTCATATAGGCGGGATGGGCCATCGGACAGGGCATCGATCGGCGATGAATAGGCGGTTGGTAACCAGTCTCGAGCTTATCCTCATCCCCTAACATTAGCAAGCCCAAAGGCAATGACATGCTTAGGGATGAGCCCTCGAAACCTGATGGGATACTTAAAGTCGAGTCGGCATCGAGGTGAGGCGATGCCAATCATGGGGATGGGCCATCGGGATATGTTCCCAGCCAATGTGTTGGCCGTCGATGCACCCCCCCCAACATTGCCCCTGCCTCCCGTCGGCTCCCGTGGGTGGCCGTCGTCGTCGTCGTCGTCGTCGTCGGCAGCACAGGTCGCCGATAATCTTATGTTTAAACCAACTATTCTTTTATGGATTTCGGCCCTCGGGGGCTGCCTTCGTGGCCGGGGCCATCAAACATCAAAAGTGGACCTGGGACCAGAAACTGCCCCTGGGGAAGCGGACGGGACCTCTGGTACCGAGGGTGGAAAATACCCCAGCAAAGCACACCGAATAATAGCCTGCATAGGGGAGAGAAAGAGCAGATGCAGCTGGGGCCGCGCCTTAGAATTTTAGGCAAAAGATCGTGGCCGCTCGGACCAAACACGTGGAGGCGAGAACTCAACTCCTGACAAAAATGATGAAGCAATTCTCAAGCGAAATGGCTGCTGGACCAAACAATCTCGGACTGTCGGTCTCGGGCTTTCCGTCCCCCCTGTGGCACTCTTCCGCGGTTTTTCTCTACAGCGATTACGAATCTCTAGCGAAACGCTGTTAGGAAATGCAGCCCACCAGCATTGAAGCGAGAACACGCTTCCTGCATAGAGCATGTGGAAGTCTGCGGCGGAACGACTGCTTGACCGGGCGGCCTAGGGCTCCCCATCACCCCCGTGGGACGTTGTATTGTCTACAAAGATTCGAGTGCTCTAGCGAAACGCTCGTACGCAAGAACCGCATCGAAGGATGTCTGGGGTCGTCGGTAATCGTCGGCGTCGGCGCCGCCGTCGCCGTCGCCGTCGCCGTCGCCGTCGTCGTCGTCGTTGGTCGACGTCGTCGACGCTTGTCGTCGATGTCGTCGTCGCCCACGCCTTCGCCTCCGCCGCCGTCGCTCGGGTCTTGCCAGAAGCGTCCCTGGCCAAAGATGTACCAAGGATTTCCAAGGATTCCCAAGCAGGCCCGAATGGCCTCAATGGGTTGTTGTTTCAATTTCTGGCGCGATGTTTTGTAACTTCCGTTGCATTTGTTTTACCGTGTTCGTTTCCCCTGGTGAGAGGCCTGGTCCAAATCACAGATTGTTCACAAATCCGAGCAATTCTCGGACCTGGTCCGAGCGCCCTTCGGATCTCAACACTGCCCAAGCCGTTTCGGCGAACCGTTATTGTTGCCGCTGCGGCGAACAAATTGTTCGTTGCCGTCGGTTTCCGAACAGGGTGGATACTATCAAGAGGCAACTTTGCAAGACGGTTTGAATACGAACCTGACACTTCCAGGGCTCACGAGCGGAGAACATGACCGTACCCGGGCCCTCGCAATCTGAAGCTGGACTCCAGGGCGCGACCCCGCGGAAACGTGGTAGCACGGATACGCTCCGCGCTGGGCACTACGAAGAAGCGCCCCGTATCCGCGGGGTCGCTGCCAAGGGGCCTGGCCCGCGAGGCCGCGGACACGGATGTGCCGTTCGCCCGCGACCCTCGCGAAGCCCACAAGGCCCCGACGGGGCCCCAGAGTGGCTCGGGCGGCGGGGGACACCTTGAGACAGGAGCGTTTCTGGCAGGCGCCGCGTCGACGGCAAGTCCGAACGCTGGGCCGCTCTCCGGAAAGACGGTTCGCCGACGGTGGCTGATACGGGTCGCGTCGGCCTCCGCCGTCTTCGGCGTCGCCTTCGCCGCCGTCGCCATTGCGGCGGCCTCCGACACCATCTCCTCAATCGACGTCGCCTTCGCCGTCGTCACCGTCGTCGTCGTCGTCGTCGTCGTCGCCGGAATCGTCGGCAAACGAAAATCGGGAGCGGCCAAGAGGGGGGTGTCCAAGAGGGGGGGGGGGGGGGGGCAAATCATGACCGGCGGCACACGTGCGCGGCCCAGCGGGGGGGCCAGGGACGTAATGAAACAAGAAGAGGCGCCATGAAATCTGGGGAAATATCATGGCCCTCGCCATGATATCCACCCCCCCTAGTCATCACCCCCCTCTTTTCCGCCCCCGAGAAAGCGCTCTTTGTGCTCTGGACCTGCCCGGGATGACAACTCGCGCTCGCGGGGGCAGGTTCGGAGGGTGCTGCTGAAAACCGGCATTCATGACTGCTTATTGTGCCAAGTCGGGAAACATGCATGCGTTACTGTGCGACCACCGCCTTCAACGAGGTATCGAACATGATATCGAACATAGCAAACAACACAGACCAATTGTTACCCACTGGTACCCACTGAGGACCCAATGCGTGGTGCAATGTCTGGTTGTGCAATCCATTTGGGGCAACCGACGCGGATCCATATGCAGTGTGCAACCACTGTGGTGCAGTCTACGTGGTGCGCTTTGCGTGGGCAATATATGTGATGCATCGAAGTTAAGTTCGCAGTGAGTTGCCAACTCCACTGCTCACACAATCATCCCACCCACCCACCCGCAACTTGGTTTGCAAAACCCATGTGGGAACGGTTGCGATGAGTGCACTTCAGTGCGAGTCGGCGGTTTGGGCGGGCGCGGTATCATGGCAACGTCGGCAACGGTAGACACGATGATGATAGTAGCGATGCTGGTGGCGATGCTGACAGCGACGACGGGGCAGCCAGTGACGGCGCCGATGCTCATCAAGCCGACGACGATGACGGCGTCTTCGCATCGGTCATGAAGGTTTAGCCAGGGATTCAAAATGCGCGCGCGGCAGGCGCGCGAGAGGGGCTCGCGTGGTGTTATTTGACACGGATACTGCCACCCCAGCACGCGCGCAAGGGCGTTCGAACGATTTCGACATATGCGCGCGCGCGAGGTCCGCTTAGTAGCATTGTATGTAAATTTTGAAACTTATGGTTTTCTTCAGAATTCGCAAGAACGCACCCGCACGCTTTTTTGAACATCAGTGTGCTTTTGTATGATTTTTTGAAACATTGATTTTGTAGATTTCGAACTCCTTCCGAAACCAATAATTTTTGAAGGATTTCGGAATGTGCGCGCGACGACGCGCGCGTGCGCACTTCCTCTCATTTTCTGTTGCAAAGGATTTTTGAAACCTCATGATTTTGATGAACGAGTGCGGGCGCATACTATGTTGTGCAGGGAGGATGGCGGGGGGGACCGATACTGGCCTAGCTGGGATAGTATGAATTCACAGGTAAGATGGACATTGGGTCGTAATCATGTGTGTTTTGCTTCGGTTCCCGGTGAGTCTTTAACCCCGGGGGGGGAGGGTGATAGAACCTATCTCTTTTTTAGAAAGGAGAACCTTTTCCCCAATCAGAGCTTGCCTCTGTAGGCGTCCTAGCGGATCCATATGTGTAATCTACGTCGCCAATTTCGGTGGCCGACCTGGGTGCCCGGGTGCACGGGGGTTGCCCGGGTGCCCGGGTGCACGGGGGTGCCCAGAGGTGCCACGAGGTGCCGGGCGGTGCCCGGGTGCCTGTGTGCCCGGGTGCCCGGGTGTCCGGGTGTCCGGGCGCCCGGTAGCCCAATAGCCCTGCAGCCCCATAGCCCGATTGCCCTATAGCCTAAGAGCCCTAAAGCCCTATAGCCCTTTAGCCTTATAGCCCTATAGCCCTGGAGCCCCAATAGCCCTACAGCCCTGGAGCCCTGCAGCCCTATAGCCCTATAGCCCTACAGCCTTATAGCCTTACAGCCCTGCAGCACTATAGCCCTATAACCCTATAGCCCTATAGCCCTACAGCCCTATAGCCCTATAGCCCTTCAGCCCTACAACCCTATAGCCCAATAGCCCTATAGCCCTGTACCCTTATAGCCTTATAGCCCTATACCTTTAGAGCCTTCTAGCCCTAAAGCCCTATAGCCTTTATGGCCCCATAGCCCTAGTAGCGCTACAGCCCTATAGCCTCATACCCCTAAGAAGATTGCGATTGGTTTTTCTCTGGTATCATGAGTGGCAATATGCGTGGTGCAATATAAATTGGGCACCCTATGCAGTGCATCCTACGCAGTGCTATATATATGATGTGACATCCATGTGTAATCGGCGCGAATCAATATATGCTGGGCAGTCTACGTGGCACAGTCTAAGTGGTGCACTATATGCGGTGAAATCGATGATGTGCACTCGGCGTTATGCAGCCCATACGGTGTAACCTGCGCACTTCAATATATGTTGTGCACCCTCGGTAATGCAATCCATGTTTTGCAATCGATGTGGTGCAAAATTTGCGGTGCACTCTATGTTGTGACAGCCACGCGGTGCAATACATGTGACACAACATATGCGGTGCAATCGTTGTGGTGCAATATATGCGGTGCCACCTGTGTTGTGCAATCTGGGGCGCCGACCGGGTGGCGATGACGGCCACATAGCCGACAGACCTGCTGACAGGCCCCGACAACGGGCGGCGACGCGGCAGCGACGGGGCCACATAGCCGCCACACCGACAGACAGGTCCAGACCCCGAGAACACAAATACTTACCTGGAGGTCAGACATCCGCTGGGAGCTGCACGATCGCAAGCCGAGCGTACACATCTCGACGTCATAAGCGGCATCCCCTGGCATCACTACACAGACGAATCACGATCTGCATGTTTCAACCAATCGTCTGCATGACCCCTCACCCCTGGACAGGTTGACGTCTGTACAAACATCAAAGAATTCGTCCAAATAATGAAAAGCCGAACCTTGATCGCGGTATTGAAGGTGACGCGGTCAGGAACAACACCGTGTTGTTTCATGAGGTCGAGGCACTGGTTGGTACCAGCCACCTCGACAGCTGGGGAAAGATATTCAAGCAGAGCCTGCCCTGAAGGCCCGCCAGCACGTAACTGCAGGGCGGAGCAGATCCACGCGCGGGTCGCGAACTGAGTTGCGTGCGCGACCCGAACCCGAGTTCTGATCAGAAAGGTTCAAGAAGGTCCTCGAGAGTAGACGGGGGGAGGAAAATGGGCGGGATCCATATTTCGGCGGCGCGCCGAGGGGGGAAGGGAGAGGGGGCCAGCTTTCTCGGACGGCGGCGGTGCTTCGGAAGGGAACTTCGGAAAAAAGGAGTTGGAAGCTCCCCTGAAGGCTGGAGGGGCAGAAAATTCACCCCGACAGCAACCACCCCGACCCGCGAAGCCGTTTAATAATCCTGCGCCCCCGATAGTAATCCCCAGGGGATAATGAATTTCGGGGCGCGGCGGGGATGATAAACGACTTTCCCGGGGAAGGTGATGATACTTAAGTTATGGCGCTGAAGATGATCCTGGGCGCTCGTGTAGACTGACCTTGTAGATAGTTGCAGAAGACTAACTCGAGAGATCTCGAGGAACGCGGCTGCAACTTGCCGGCGCAAGAGATGTCCTTGGCGCTTCTGGCCAAGAAACGTCTCTTGCGCACGGCCTCGAACCACTCGCCCATTCAGGCTCGGCATCCACTGGGGCCCCCCCCGGGCTGCTCGGACGCCCCTGCAAAAAGGTTCCTTCGGCCTCCCGGCCTTCTCGGAAGGTCCAAAGATGCCGCCAAGATTGCCCAAGACAGCTCGTCGACAGTTCCAAAGCACACCAAAACCTTCAACATGGCTTCCAAACGCCCCAAGAGGCCTCCAAGAGGCTTCCCAAGAGGGCCCCAAGAGGCAAAATTCATTGATTGTTCAATGGTTTTTGAAGGCTCTTTCGGTTTTCACTTTTCCTGGACAAGAACGGCCCAAGACGGCCCAAGAGGCTCCAAAGATCGTCCCAACACGGCCCTGGAGGCCCCCCAAAGGGTTCGAAAACGACCCAAGAGGGCCCCTAGACGGCCCAAGAGGGCCCGAAAACTACCGAGGGAGCCCCAAGACGGCCCCAAGAGAGCCTCAGGAGCACCCCAAGAGGCTCCCAACAGAGCCCCAAGAGGCCCCCAAGACACCCCGAAGACGGCCGAATGCCTCCAAGACGCCCCAAGACGGCCCGAAAGGGCCCCCCACAACGGCCCAAAAGGGCCCCCAAGAAGGCCCAAAGAGGCAAACTTCACTGAGTTGTTGAAAAGGTTTGAAGGTTTCTTCGGTGTTCGCTTTTTCGGGCCACGAACGGCCCAAGACGGCCCAAGAGCGTTTTCCATGGAATTTCCCTGTAAAGCAATTCTTGCACGGATGTAGACATCGTTTAACAATACATTACCGTGTTAGACGAGCGTCAAGCGCTCTTGGGACGTTCAGACGTTGGGAGGCGTTCTCATTTGATATCCATACGTACATACATCAATACATACATACATACATACATACATACATACATACATACATACATACATGCATGCATGCATGCATGCATGCATGCATACATACATACATACATACATGCACATGCACAAGCATACATACGCAAAATAAATTCAGATGTGCACACACACACATCCCCCCGAACGCATGTCGGACTCCCCGGGCTGCTGGGAAGCCCCTTACAAGGCTGCTCGACCTGCTGGGAAGCTCCCCCGGGGCTGCTCGGACGCTCTTGCAAGGGAGTTATTCGACCTTCCGGCCTGAGGTGTTCAGACCACTCTTCGCTTGAGACTTCCTCGCACAGCTGACTTCGGAGATGCCCTGCCCCATAAGGTGCTCGGGCCAGTTTCGCCTGAGACATCCTCGCAACGTCAACCTCGCTGCCGCGTAGCAATCAGACACGTAGCACTCCGACACGTTCACAAGGCCTCCAGATTTTTCCCAAAGGTTCTGGCGGCGCCCGTCGTCGAGTCCCTCTCAGGTCCTCCTCTCTTTCAACGCTCTCGGAGCCCAGCTCCCAGCGTCTTGCATCCGCGTCAGTTCCAACCTCCACGCCATGAGTTACGATCCTGAGCGTTCGTGCCTGCCTGCCTGTCCTCGGTTCTCGGGACTCCTCCCATTACTCTTTCCATTGGCCTTCCTCCTTCCCACTGTCGGCTGAGACATCCTCGCAACTCTGACCCCAGGGAAGCCGTGCCCCAAGGTTGTCCGGCCACTTCCGCTTGAGACCTTCTCGCAACTCTGGGTTCCGGGGTTCCCTGAGCTGATGTGTCTGGCCACTTTCGCTAGAAACATCCTCGCAAATTCCGAGATGCCCTGCCGCAGAGTAGTCCGCCACTTTCACCTGAGACCTCCTCGCAACTTTGGATCCAAGGATGCCCTGAGCTGGGGTGTTCGGGCCATTTTCGTTTGAGACATCCTCGCAATTCCGGGTTCGGGTATGTCCTCAGCTGAGGTGGTCAGTTCACTTTCGCTTGAAACATCATCGCAACGCTGACATCGGATATGCACTGCCCCGTAGTAGTCTGGCTACTTTCGCCGGAGACCTTCGCAACTATGAGTTGCGAGATGCCCTGAACAGGCGGTCGCGCCATTACCACCTTATATGCGAATGGGTATGCGAACCCATATATATATATATATATATATATAGGTGCGTGCACCAACAAACACCTGCGATTGACATATGCATGTACATACACATGGTTAAATGTAATGTATAAACACATATACAACAGTATACATGTGTGGTGTACACATAGATATATGTGCAGAGCGTGCATGCGCGCGAGCGTGTATACATGTGTGCGCGCATGTACGCACGCACGCACCCCGCTTGCGTGCGAAACTCAAAGGACCAAGGTGCATGACGCGCAGCGCCAATGCAGCCTTGTATGTGTATATATATACATTACAGCGATCGCATAGTTGATGTGAGCGTGTTATGTTTTGCAGTAAGGTATAACAACTGTTTAAAACATGTGTTGGGGGGGACAGTTTAAAACATGGTTGTTCCCCAGCGTTGTAGTGCGCCTATAGAAAACAAAAGGGATGCGGGGCAAACTGGATCGCTGGAGACGTCCCCGCGACCGCCCTGGCGCCCTGCGTGCAGGGGCATATTCCTGCGCACCCCCTCTTGGCGTCAGGCCACGCCTGCCACGCCCTGCGATCCCAGCGTGGATAGAGGCTGCGCTCAGGGACCACTCCCTGCGAACCGCGTACCCTGTCTGGGTTGCGAGCCAGCCACACCTGACACGCCCGAGCCTGGCGCGGAACGAGACCGCACTTGGGGACCATCCCTTGCGCACGCCCTCTGGTGCCGAGAGGGCCACAAGTGTTTTAAGATGGCCTCCAAGATGGCGCAATATGATCCAAGTTGGCTCAAGATGGCCTCATCAGACCGGCGACATGTGATGATCATATTATGCAACTAGCGTTAATTTTCGGAGGCGGGGAGTAGAGGCGGAGGGGAGCGGAGGCAGAGTGGAACAATAGGACAGGAGAAGGGCTAGACCAGGTTACGACGAAGGCCAGATCGCCCTCCAGGCCAGAAAGGCCCTCAGCAAACCGTTCAGTTCGAGGCCGCACCAAGGCTACACCAGGTTACAGCGAAGGTCGCACCGCCCTCTGGGCCAAATTTGCGGGGCTACACCAAGATACGATGAAGGCCGTCCCCCCTCTGAGCCACACAAGCGGGGCTACACCAGGTTACAACGAGGGCCAGCGCGCCCTCCAGGCTAGACATAAGGGGCTACACCCAGCTACAATGTCACATCGGCATTCTCCCTGGTACCGAGGTATATACAAGTGGCATCGATCGGCATCCATTGATTTTTTAAAATAGTTATTCGGATGCGAATTAATGGCAGTCGGGATCCAGGGGGTGGGGGAGGGGGGGGTCATCATTTTTTAACTGGTTTTGGACATTACCCTGCCGCGCTAACATTACCATTGGTTGTGCAGGGCGCCCTCTCAGGTTAAGATGTCAAATATTCATGACCACCTTCCTGCCCCGCTTGGGGCACTCCGAAAAAATCGACTCAGGTCAACAAACCAGCCCTCCTCCAGGGGCCCACGCATCAAAAAACATCGGAGCGCCGGATGTCTGGGAACGAACGAGCGACCACCGAGGGGAAGGAGGAGGACGTCCTTGGCATCGGGGAAGAAGGAGGATGTCCTGAAGGAGGACTCTGCATCGCAACCTGTCTCAGCCGCCCTTGGAGAGTACGTCTGAGCAGACCCCGGCAGTTGCTCCAGCTGTTGGAGGGCAGCCCACGGCGAGGACGGCCCCCGAACTGCTTCGCTCTCCGTCAGGAGTTGGTGGAGGTTGCGTTTTCAGACACAGGTGCTACGAGGAGGAGGAGGAGGAGAAGGAGAAAGGAGAAAGGAGAACGGAGGAGAAAGGAGGAGGAGGAGGAGGAGGAGGAGGAGGAGGGAGGAGGGAGGAGGCAGGAGGAGAGCTCGAGGCCGACCGCGCCGTCGGGCCGCGGCTGCCGCGGTGGCGCGGCGGGCCGCTCCGGGGGCGGGCCGCGGGCGAGTCGCCGGACGGGGCGCCGGCGGGCCGCCCGCGGTGCGGGGCAGCGAGAGGGGGGGGGGCAGCTCGGCGAGGGACCCCTCCTCCTCCTCCTCCTCCTCCTCCTCCCCCTCCTCCTCCCCCTCTCCTCCCCCTCCACCTCCTCCTCCTCCTCCTCCTCCTGCCTCGAGCTGGCATCGGGGGCACGTCGCCGACTTGCCGTCGCTCGGACGTCCATTTCCCGTTCATTTGTCGATCTCGTGCGTGTTTTGTTTTGCTCGACGGTCCAGGATGGTCCTCGATGGTTCTCGCCGAGAAAAAATGCACACGTCCGAGCGATGCCAAGGCGAGAGGGGGGGGGGCCAGGTCGGCGAGGGACGCCTCGAGCTGGCATCGGGGGCACGTCGCCGATGGATCGGCGGCAGGGCCCCGAGGGCGAGCGCCGCGGCACCCTCCCGGGCGGGGCGGGGCTCGTGGGGCCCCCTCGGCGGCCAGTGGGCGACTGGGGGCGGATGCGTGCCCCCCCTGAGCGCATCCCCCGCCAACGTTGCACCGGTGGCCGTCGGGCCAGAGCTCGGGCCGTCGGCGGCCCGTCGGGAGGATCGGGGCACGCTGCGACCGCCCTCGGCGGGGCGCAACCGCTGCTGAAGGCATCGCGAGGCTGGCAAACCCTCGAGAAGCCACGAGAACGTGCGAAACCTCGAGCCCCGAACTTCGAAGGGCGCCTGAGCGTATCCCTCGCAACCGCAGTCCGCTGAGCGCAATTCCATCAACCAAAAATCCAACAACAATTATGACGAAAAAAACAAACAGTTTCGCAAACACTCGCACTGGCACGCGCACGTGCGCTGCGCGCAGGACGTCCAAGAATCCGCTAAGCGAAAAGCCAAGAAAAGAAACACAATGAGACAAGCAGATTGTGACCACCGAAGACGAACAACATGTGACACGAAACGGCGTTCACCTGTAAACAACCGATGTGGGGCGGGCCGCGAACAATCTTCAATCCGACGCTGAAATGCTGCCGTTTTGTCAACGACTGTCCGGGCGAGTGCCCTGGCGCCACTGTGGAAGGCGACTCGGAGAAAATGTGACAGCCCCAAGATACGCCTGTTCGTCGGTAGATGCATTCCGTTGACGGATTTCAGATTTGTATTGTTTTGTCATCTTTCCGTTGCCAAAGACTCCTGGCCGTGGCATCCCCTCCTGAACGTATCCCCTGAAAAATGGGTCGCGGGCGGGACCGCGGGATGGGTCACGGACAAGGCCGTGCACGGCGACAGCACAACAGAAAACACGACCGAACCACACGCGGAACCGAAACCGACCGAAATCGACAGGCCGACAGCAACCTGGAAGGGCGCAGCGAAACGGCAACGACACCATAACCGACCGAACGGAACCGACCGAACACAACCGACGTGTGACGTAACAGACCCGACCGCACCGTGAACATCCTTGACTGAAGGGGCCCTGGGCCACACAAATAAACATACACAAATAAACAGGGATCCCCATATTCTCCAATATCTTCTGGGCTTTTGTCGTCCCCCCCACTTCCCCCAATTTCCCATATTTTCTTGGGAATCGATCGACGATTACCCACCAGTCGGAAGAAGTAGGTAGAAACATGAAGGAGGAAGGAATCGAACATAGATTGGGTTCAGTCCGCCCCCTCAGGACGGGGAAGGTGAAGCCACTCGATCATTGAAATAGGAAGGCGCTTGAAGCAGATTGGAACTGGGGAATCAAAAAAATATCTACTTTCAACGACCGATGGGTACTTGTGCCTACGTGTGTCTGTGTGTGTGCGTGTGCGTGTGCGTGTGCGTGTGCGTGTGTTCGGGTGTGCGTGTGTTCGGGTGTGCGTGTGTGCGTGTGTTCGGGCGTCCCCGAGACGTGCCACAGGGATGCAGGCCGCCGCCAGGAGACCAGGACCCAAGGGATCGACAATGAAAGAGGCTGTAAGCAGCGTCATGCCCCCCTCCACATCTCCGTTGCGCGCGTACACGTTGATCAGCAAGTTGAAGCAGACCTTGCTCCGCGCTTGTGCAGATCAGGCATTGCAGAGGAGAGCGCAGCTGCATGAATGCAGGACCGAATCGCCAAATCAACTGTGCGCGACGACGCCGCCAACTGATGAGGAGGACTGAAACGTACGGGACAGTTAGGGGGAGAGGGGGAAAGACAGAGAGAGAGATATCGAGAGAAAGAGAGAGAGAGAGAGAGAGAGAAAGAGTCGTTCGAAACAACACTAACATGCCGCAACGCGGGAAAGGCTCTCCAGAGGGTTCTTGCGCAATGGAACACGAGTCAGCGGCACCTGCCTGGGAAATTCAAACATTCGTCAGCCGGCGATCGGGCATCAACAATGGCTCCCCCCCAGCGCGAACGGCAACGCGGGTAAGCGCAACGCGGGTGAGCGCAACGTGGGTGAGCGCAACGCGGGTGAGCGCAACGTGGGTGAGCGCGCGGCCCCGAGGCGCCAACTGATGGCAGCGTGACTCGCTTCGCACCGACAAAGACTGCACGCGAGCAGCGCCATCCCCCTCCGAGCCCGAGGACATGGGCAAGCAGACACCCACCACAAGGGGAACTACCGAAGGAACGGACCCCCCGTGATTGCCCCCAGGGAGCCTGGTCCCACGAAGGGAGCTGCGTGTAGAGGAGCGACCACGGAGGAAACCAGGGAACAGCGACCCCGTCCTGAGCACCAAGTGGTCCGCATCCCAGCCTCCTGACTGCACACGGGATCCCTCGCCCCGCTCCGAGCGGGGTCGGGCCCGCCGCCACCGCCGCAGCTGCAACCGCCGCGGTCTGCTCCGCCCCCTACAGGGGGGACGGAAGCGTGGAAATGGCCCTGGGGGGGGGGAGCACATCGACCTGGCATCGGCGACACCTCGCCGACAGATCGACGATAGGCCACCCGACAGCGATAGATCAGCCTCCCCCTGAGCCCATCCCCCCCTGACGCTGCCAGGGCCCCCCTCTCCACATGAGGGCCTCCCCCACCGCAGCCGCGGGGGGGGGCGCGCCGCCAACCGCCCCTCTGGCCGAGGAGCGACCCCCTCGCGGGGCAAGGGCGCCTCTCTCCCATCCTTATGTTGCATCTTCGGGAGACCGTGTCTGTGCCGTCGCGCCGCGATCCGCGTCGAATCCATGTGGAATCCGTGACGGGCACGTCGAATGGGTGTCGAATCCGTGTCGAATCCACGTCGAACACGCGTCGACTCCGCATCCAGCCCGCGTCGGGCACAGGAGAAGGCCCACCCTGCGGCCCAGAATATGTGTTACGGTCTCCCCCTCCGCCTCGTCCTCGTGCCTTGTGCACAGTGGGTGCTCGAGGGATGGTTGCCTGTTTGACTAAAGGGGCCCCAGGACACACAAATAAACACACACAAATAAAAGGATTCCCCCATATTTCCCTATATTTTCTGGGTTTCTGTCTTCCCCCCCACTGCCCATCTTTTCCAATATTTTTTTGTGAATCGCCGATTGATTGTGTCTGTGTGTTGTTCTCCCTCCTGAAAACAGTGCTCTCACGACGCCCGTTGGTCGCTGATGAGTTGGAGCTCGTTGGCGCTTTGACCATTCGGTGCTCGCCGCCGCCGCCGCCTGCTCCTCCCCACCCCCCTCCCCCACGCCTCCCTCCCCCTCCTCCTCACTCCCTCTTCCCTCCCCCTCCTCCTCACTCCCTCTTCCCTCGCCTCCTCCTCACCCCCTCTTCCCTCGCCTCCTCCTCCTCCTCCTCCTCCTCCTCCTCCACCTCCGCCTCCTCCTCCTCCTCCTCCTCCTCCTCCTCCTCCTCGTCCCTTGTCTCCCTTGTCATCGTGCACCCCTGGAAAAAGCTCATTGACCCCCGACCTTCCGATGGGCACGTGCTGGCAGGGAACCCGGAGGGGTGGAGTGGGGGGCTCGCGGCGAAGACTGGTGCTCTCGGCGAGATGCGCTGTGGGAGGAGGGGGAGAGGAAAAGCAGCAGCAGCAGCAGCGAAGAGCGAGGAAGAGGGGGCAGCAGCAGCAGCAGCAGCAGCAGCAGCAGCAGCAGGTGGGGGAGGAGGAGCAGGGGGGGACCGCGCTCGTCGGGCGCAGGGGGGGCCCGCGCTCGTCGGCGGCGGAGGAGAAGAGGCTCGGGGTGCGGGAGGCGGGAGGGAGGGAGCAGCAGCAGCAGGCGCCGGCGCGGCGGAGGCGGGGGCGAGGGAGGAGAGGCGCTCGGCGGCGCCGGCCGTGTTCGGCGAGATGCCCTCGTTCAGCATCGTCGTGAACCACTTCTGCGCGCGCTGGCTGTCGTTGCAGCGGTTGCAGGCGCACCTGCCCCCAGGCTCGGGGAGGAGCCCCCACGACTGGGGCAGGATGGGGGGGAGCGCGACCTTCGTCCTCTTACTCCTCCTGCTCCCGCTCCTGCTCCTGCTCCTGCTCCTGCTCCTGCTCCTCCTCCTCCTCCTCCTCCTCCTCCTCTTCCTCCTCCTCCTCCTCCTCCTCCCCTCCCTCCCTCGCTCCTCCTCCCTCCCCTGCTGTTCCTCCTCCCTCCTCCTCTCCCACCGTCCCCCCGCCAGCACCACCGCAAGGAGCCAGCGGGGGTCCTCCTCGTGGCGTGGCCCCCCTCGCTCGAGACGCCCCCTGTTCCTGTCCCCAGCTCGGGGAGCTCGGGGAGGAATCGCTTACAGCAGGGGCCCGACCACAAGAAACCTTCCACAAGAAGCCCAACCCTGAGACCCCAGGATGTGCACTGATTTTTGGTGTGAGAACGTGACGATTTCCATAGAAAAACCATCGGAACCCAAGAAACCCAGGGCACCCTGGAGGCAAGCAGAGCGTTTCTTGGCATGTGTCTCCACTGTAGCGGACGAAACAACATCGTGGCCTCCATCCACCGGGCCCGCACCTTCGTCGCGGGCGCGTTCGGCGAGACGTCTGCCGAGCGCGCCCGAGCCTAGGGCTCGCGTCAAGGGCGCCCAGTCTCCCCCCTCTTGTTCGCGATTCCGATGACCGCCCTCCTCGCGGATCTGCGGTTCTGCCATCGCGCTCGCCTGCCCAAGGGCGACTGGAAAGTTCCCATCCTCACGCGCCACCACCGTAGGGGCACACGTTCCCGGCCGCTTTGAGGCAGGCGCCCCCAGCGGCGGAAAAAGTTCGTGCCCCACCGCTGTGAGAGGCTCCTGGGTGGGCTCGGAGAAACGCGCCGCGTCGCCGACGCATGGGCGCCATCGGCGTAGAGAGAGAGTTGGGCTCTACAGTCAAAAACCCTAATAAGGACGCGCGGTAAGGACGCAAGACCCTTGGAAGCCGAAGTTGGGATTTTTGGGGCGGCGGACGACGAAAACCCCAAGGACGCAAGGGTAACCTGACTTACCAAGGAAGAGCAAGGACGCAAGGGTACCCTGAGCAAAGTCGCGCGTCCTTATTCGGGTTTTGGACTGTACACCGAACCGCGTCGGCGATGCATCGTCGATGCGGCGCGAGCCTCCAACCCCATCTGCTGGGACCCAGCCTGGGAGCCCCTCGGGGTTGCTCGCGCGCCAGGCACGGGCCTCCCCGCTGAAGGCCGTGCCCCCGCAGGTCTGCGGTGTCGTGTTGTCTTAAGTCGGGCCTGTCCCCCTACAGGGGGATTCTGGACGAAAAATAAAAAAAAGTAAACAAATGCCCTAAACATGCTCAGACATTGTCACAACATCCTCCCCAGACTATATTTTTATGTCCTAATCGTCCTGTGGTGTCCTCGTTTCGAAGAGACGGTCAGCGCGTTCCTCTCCCCTTCTCCTCCTCTTCACCTCCTCCTCTTCCCTCCTCCCTCTTCCATGCGCTTCACCCACCCAGCACAGCGTTTCGTGGCCCCACAAGGAGCTCCAGCGAAGGTCCCAGTGGCACCGCCCGCATGCGTCCGCCACCACCCAGCACAGCCCTTGCTCCCTGCGTTTCACCTTCCCAGTGCCGCGCTTCGTGGCCCCATAAGGTTCCACCGAAGGTCTCAGTGGCACCGCCCGCATGCGTCCGACACCACCCCGCACAGCCCTTGCTCCCTTCGTTTCACCCACCCAGTACAGCGCTTCGTGGCCCCTTTTGGAGGCTCCACCGAAAGTCCCAGTGGAACCGCCCGCATGCGCCCGCCAACACCCAGCACAGCCCTTGCTCCGTGCGTTTCACCCACCAAGTACAGCGCTTCGTGGCCCCATAGGGGGCCCCACCGAAGGTCCCAGTGGCACCGCCCGCATGCGTCCGACACCACCCAGCACAGCCTTTTGCTCCCTGCGTGTTTTTTCCCGCCCAGTACAGCGCTTCGTGGCCCCATAGGGGGCCCCACCGAAGTATGCGTCCGCCACCACCAAACACATCCCTTGCTCTCTGCGCTCCACCCACCCAGCATCGCGTTTCGTGGCCCCACGGGGAGCTCCAGCGAAGGTCCCAATGGCACCGCCCGCATGCGTCCGACACCACCCCGCACAGCCCTTGCTCCCTTCGCTTCACCCACCCAGTACAGCGCTTCGTGGCCCCATTACGGGCCGTGCTGCTTAGATCCGGGTCTTGATATCCGGTGGCCGCCCCGAAAAGTAGAAAAGCGCGAAAAGCGCGAAAAGTAGAAAAACGCGAAAAGTAGAAAATGCGAACAGTGCGAAAAGTGCGAAAAGCGCGAAAAGTGCGAAAAGTGTGAACAGTTGCGCCGCGAAACATTTGAAACGCACCCGAAAAGTAGAAAAGCGCGAAAGGTGCGAAAAGCGAGAGAGGAGCGAAAATGGATACAGTGATGCGCACAAGAGGCCGAAGAGCGCGAAGTGTTCGAATGGCGCGCGAAAAATGTAACAAAAAAGCACGAAATGCGCAACAAACGCGAAAAGTTTAGACAACAAGGCGCCGTCGGTGGAGAAACGCGAGAACAGCGAAACAAATGTGAAACCACGAGGACACAATAACACGACAAATCGGAAGACCGAGACGCGGACGCCTACGGAACGCTGAGAAGTCAATTCCTTCTGAGAAGTTCAGCAATGAGAACTTTGGCAAGCACTCCTGCTAACATTGCAAAATCCATAGAATCCGGAGAGAGGAAAGCGAGGATATAGATGTCACGGAATACCCCGTTTTCCTTCCTCCTCGTCTGTTTTCCTGACATGGGAGCCGCAACGCGCGGAAACGAATATGAGAAACACGAACAGCGGAAAACATGTAAAACACACGCGAGCGCGAGAAACGCGAACCACATAATACCGAGAACACGGGACGCGCGCAATAGCTGGGCGAAAACTATGAAGACCAGAAACGCTTCCAAAGCGGAAGTATATCCCACCAGCCCTTTAGGGCGCAGGTGGTCTAGGCCGTTTCCTTTTCCAACTTCCTTCCTCCCCTTGCTCAAGAGGTTTTACCCCCCCTCCTCCTCCATGGGTCTGGACGGGCTCCCGCGCGAGGTGTCAAAGTGTTCGTGTTGGCCCAAGATGGCTCCAAGAGGGTCTCGGAAAGGCCAAGATGGCCTCCAAGATGGCTCAATATACCTCAAGATGGCCCAAGATAGTCTCCGAAATGTCTCCAAGAGGCTCCAAAACGGCCCCAAGACGGTTCCGAGTGCCCTCCGAGCTCTCCGAGGGTCCCCCCAAGAGGCCCGAACCTGTCAAACACCAACAGAAAATGCCTCCTCGCCTTTTCGCTTCCGATGGGCTCTGGAGCCCTCACGTTGGCCCGGCCCAAAGATGGCTCCAAGAGCGCCCAGGAACGTTCCAAGAGCGCCGCAAGAGGGCCCCAAGACGCTCTTTTTGAGCCTCCGAGGGGCGGGGGCCTGAATTGCAGCCGCCGACCTGTTTTTGAACAGTGGGGCCCAAGATTGCCCCAAGAAGCGCTCCCAGAGCTCCTCTAAGAGCACCAAGAGGGCTCCCTGGATCCCTCCAAAGGGCCTCAAGAGGGCCCCCAGAGGACCCCAAAAGGACCCCAAGATGGCGCCAAGAAGGCATCACGAGTCCTCGAAGAACCCCTCACCACAACATAGCCCCAAAGCCCAACTTGTCATTCTCCTTATCATGGTCCGCTCCTTCCTGCTTTCCTCCTCCTCCTCCTCCTCGTCAATCTCTTCGTGCCGCATTCCTGCTGCTGCTCCTCCTCCTCCTCCTCATCCTCCCCATCCTCCCACGTTCTCCTCCTCCCCCCCATCCGGCAGCTTGGCCAAGCTGTGGCCCAACGATTGGCCACAGAGGCGCTTTCCAAAAAGGCAAGGGAAGAGAATGGAACACGCAGCCGATGCCAAGAGACACCCGAAACGAAGTACGCTTCACAACGCGCGCTGCCTGCCGCGTCGCATGCGGGGCGGATGCTTTCCAGCAGCTGCGTCTCATCGAAAGATGTCGGGGGCGCCCAAATCATCTCGAACCCTCGCCGGAAGCCCGAGTTACGCACGGCTCGAAAACCACTGGGAAGATCGAGGTTCGAGGATCGAGGTTGTTGAACGCGCTCGGCAACTATTGCGAAAAGCTTAGAAAACAAAAAAAACAAGAAAAACAACCGTGCTCCATGCGAGGAAAAGCGGAACGCAGGAAAAACGCAAGTGGAACACGGCCACGCCTCATCATCCTGCCCCCTCCTGCCGCTCTCTAGTGTTTCTTTTAGAATATGTTGAACCACTCGCGCGTTTCGAACTGGTCCTGCTTCTTGCGCTGCGCACAGAGGTATTGGGCGCGCCCAATATCATCCCAAACTTCCGCTGGAGGCCCGAGTTACGCACGGTCCGAAAACCCCTTGGAAGATCGAGGTTCGAGGATCGAGGTTTTTGATCGCGCTCGGCAACTATTGCGAAACATCTATAAAAAGCAAAGACAAGAAAACAAGCGTGCTCCATGCGAGGACAAGCGACACGCAGGCAACACACATGGTGAACACGGCCACGCCTCATCTTCCTGCCCCTCCTGCCGCTCCTTTTTCTTTTAGAATGTTGAACCATTCGCGCGATTCGAACTTGTCCTGCTTCTCGCGCTGCGCACTGTTAAGAATGCGGTTCCTTCCCAAAACGTTTCTCATTCCACGTTCGCTCTTATCGCGCAAGTCCCGCTTTGCTGCCTTTCGTTATTATCGCAAATTTCTAACGCACGTTCCCCGTTTTTATCGGGGTTCGACTTTCTTGTTTTTCGCACCTATTAGCGTTTGTTTCAACGTGTTGCACTGTGTTGCTTCGTACGTCTCGCACTTTTCGTCCTTCTCATACTTTTTGTACAGTTTCGCAATTCTCTGGTTTTCTACTTTTCACACTTTTCCACTTTTCGCACGTTCGCACTTTTCGCGCTTTTCTACTTTTCACACTTGTCTACTTGTCGCGTTTTTCGAACTTTTCACACGTT